TAGATTGGACCAGTGTGAGCTGCCTGACTGTGAGTCTATGTGGATTTCTTTAAGAACTCACTCTTTGTCAAGATCAATGTCTTCAATAATATTACGCGTTGTTTACCATTCGACAGCTGACGTTCAACCTGAGAACGTGGCTCTTTGCGATCACATTCGTATAAATTTGGACCCACTATTATGGCACCTAGCGAATTCGCTTGTTATCGTTGTAAGAGATGTTAATTCCACTTCAACGGGCCTCCGTCTGAATGACTTGAGGCGACCGAATAATCTGAAATTAAAGGTGTATTTTAAGACAAGGGACTTGGGTACATCAGACTGCTTTCTTAATAGCAAACCTAAAGTCTTCGGACTTTCTCAACTCCCAAATTTAGCTACCGCAGATCATTACGTGACTTTAACGACTTAAAGTACGAGTACACCTTCCCAGTCTCGTAAAGTGAAAGTTAGAGACCTAGGTGCATGGCTCACGTTGGGCTGGGGCTTACAATGAAAGACTGGTAGCAGGTTCTCAATACTATTTCAAGTTGGTAAACTTCTACACGTTTATTAAGGACCTTTAGGACGCAGATGACACTTTTCGGCCATTTCCATCTATATCTTGTACACCCAACTGACAGACCTTGGACTACAGAAAAAACAATTCAAAATGCTTATCAAGAGACCTTCCAATGTGGTTTTGGTACATGTTTTGGCACATGTTGAGCGACAGTTGCACACAAATTTATTCCACAGAATTTCTAACGACGTCTCCCTTTTTCTCCCCTTTAATATAGCTGGAGTTTTGAAAAGTAGGTCAGCAACTGAATCAACTCTTTTCCGCCACTTTTTTCCATCTTTACGATCCCATTTACGGAGGAAAAAATCTCACCAAACTCTTCGATTGATGTAAGCACCAGCCTCCTGACTTGAATGACCGAACAGACCGTGGACTAAATTTATTTTCAGCATTTCAAAGTTACACACCAGTGAATGCTGCAAGTGAGGTCATCGAGGTAGTGGGTTCGAATCACGCCATAAGAGTTTTATTTAATCTGGCTAGGGGGCCGAATAACCTCTCCCCGAGTATGATTTGGAGCTGGCGGATAAGGGGTGACTCTCAACCTTTCAGACTGGTTTCTTGCCAACAAACCTTAAGTTTTCGAACTTTCGTTTCGGCGTCGGCTAACAATAAAAGAGTGGTCAGAGGTCCTCAAAACTATTTCATGTCGGCAAAAATTCTATAAGTTTATTACAGAACTTCAGGAAGCAGTTGACACCTCTCTGCCATTTAAATCTATCCTCGTACACCTAACTGACAGACCTTGGACCGCAAAATAAAGTACCAAAATGCTTATCAAGACACCTTCCAATGTGGTTTTGGTCCATTTTTTGGCACATGTTGAGCGACAGTTGCATAGAAATTTATTCCAAAGGTTTTTGACGACGTCTCCCTTTTTCGCCCGTTGAATATAGCTGGAGTTTTGAAAAGTAGGTCAGCAATTTCACCCAACTCCTATTATTTAATCATTTCTTTAACCGTTTGTTTGTTTTCTTTGTTTGTTTGTTTGTTTTTTTTAATTTTTTCGTATCCGACTTGTACATGTTGAGCGACAGTTGCATAGGAAATCAATGCAAGGTAGTTGCAAATCGTCGCCTAAAAGTAACTGAGCTCGAACAATAGGCGTTAATGTCAAAATATTTCTATCCACGTCTCCCTTTTTCCCCCATTGAATATGGCCGGAGTTTTAAAAAGTAGGTCAGCAATTTGACTCAACTCCTTTTAATACTTTCCACCTTTACGATGCCATTTATTTGGGAAAAAATCCCACCAATCTCTCCGATAGATGTAAGCACCAGCCTCCTGTTTTGAAGGAACGAACAGACCGTGGACTAAATTAATATCTTCTGTATTTAGATGCAGTGCTTGAAAGAGAAAGCTTCTACTACTCACTGTAAAATTCGAGTAAAACCCTTGCCAAATTAATACATGGAATATAGTTAAGCCTAAAAACAGAGGGTTCAAGAAAATTTATTTGCCACCTTTTCACCTTTTTACAACTCCTCAGCACTGGCTGTCGAGGAGTTTAGTACCCAGGCATTCCGCGGGAGGCCTGGGTTGAAATTTGGGCTTTGTTATGTTGCATTCAATCACAAATTGCCGTCGAGGATCCTAAGCGCATGCGGAGGCCAAGTCTGGTCTACGCATGCGTTGCATAAGGCAGATTAAAAAAATCATATCAGTCTGTCGGAGGCGACAATGACTGTTTCATTCAAGATTCCTCGACGCAGCTCTGTCCTTCGTTGTCCATCCGCTGCCACGAACTCCTTTCTGTATCCAACTTCCTCAGGTTTCTTTAACAGTGTCTTTGAATCTCAGCCTTCGTATACTCTGATTGCATTTGCCCTCGCATAACTGTAAATAGAGTAGCTGCTTGGGGAGACGCTGGTTATCCATCCTCTCAGGATGACCGAGCCACCTCAGGTTCATCTGTATTAGGATGATCTCCATTGATGGTAGACCAGGTCGATCCAGCACTTCTATGTTGGTTATCTTGTCTTCCCATGAGATGTTCATGATGGCTCGTAGGTGTCTCATCATTTATGCGTGAAGTTTCTGTACCTGTGCCCTGTGCACAGTCCAAGTCTGAGCACCGTACAACAGACACATAAGACAGACAGCATAAGACAGATGAAGTTAAAGTCATAAATACGTCCACAGAAGTATAAATGCATGATTCCTGGCGTGTAAAATTGTCCCAATTCCATGCACGCACTTGATATAGGGCATTTTCTCAGAGAAGTGTCCGAATTATAGTTATTAACGAGTCCCAGCAAACGCTGCCATCCGCCAAACATAATACACCGTGAAAAGTCTGTCCATTTGGTATTTACGCACCCGTTGGTTTGTATCAGAAATCTCACTCGTTCGCTGGACTCACTCGTTTTATTTCCGATACTATTATCTCGTGCTTAAATACCAAACGGGCAGACTTCCCCTGAAGTATCCTATAAATCAGAAAGGAACAAAACCGCGCGATACTATAACTCAATTCGTCGACTTATGCGATGATTCCAAGATTAGAAAGGCTGCTATGGCTACGGGTGATAGCAGAATTATTGGCCTTTCCTCTCGTGATTTGGTAGCAGATGAAGCATGATACCACGGCCAGGGGTTCATGACAAGTCGCTACTGCGACTACTGTAAAGCACTGTGATATACTTTATTACTAGGGTATTCGCTTTGAAGAAAAAAAGAAGGCTCAAACCACAAAACGAAGACCTTCGCCAAAACCCTTTTTCATGCCACTAAATTCATGATATAGCTCACTATTCTTGGTATTATAAATGTCCACGACACGTTTTGACATGAAGCGTCTATCTATGGATTTTGGCGCCTGCCAAAGCGTTTAGACGAATGTCTTCGTTTTGTAGTTTTATCTCAGTTCATTTATTCTATAAAACGATGATCCTATCAATAAAGTGTATTCTAACGCCTGCCAAAGCTTAACGAAGCTCCGACACATTTCAAAATCGTTCGAAAAAAATTTTTTACAGTGGCCCTAAAACAACTGCTCAGTAAAAGAGATAAGATTAAAAACTAGAAAAGACAGCAAAATCAAAATGTGAATTTCACGGGGAGGAGTTACTCGGCCCCCAAGCCAGTTTGAGAGTTACTCCTTGTCCGCCAGCTCCAAATCATACTCGGGGAGAAGTTATTCGGCCCCCAAGTCAGATTAAGAATAACTCCTATAGCGTGATTCGAACCCGCGACCTCGATGACCTCACTTGCACTCGTTGCGCGCCCACGATTACCAGTCGACCATCTGGAATATGCATCATTAAATAGCATAAGTTGTCGGTGTAGAGAGTTTTCAAATACCGGGTTGGGGGGGGAGGGTGAGAAGGTTTGTCTTACTTAGAGTGCAAGCGTGCGTTTCCGGTCAAGAATAAAGGGAATGAATCATACAAAGAACTGAAATAAGTGATCTTAACGAGGAATATTAGCATATTTCGTAATGGCGGATGACATCGATGACCTCTCCTGCACTCGTTGTGCGCCTACGATTACCAGTCGACCATCTGGAAATTGCATTAACTATTAGTATAAATCTTCGCTGTGGAGAGTTTTTAAATACCGGGTTGGGGGGGAGGGTGAGGAAGTTTGTCTGACTTAGTGTGCAATCGTGCGTTTCCGGTCAAGTATTAAGGAAAAGGAGGATTATACAAAGAACTGATAGAGGCGATATAAACGAACGACATTAGCATATGTCGCAATGGCTGACGGCTGCGATTACCGGGGCTCGTCAAACATTTCGATTCGGACACTTCTCAAAGAGGTGCGTACATTGGCAAAATGTTACAGGCCAGATATCACGGATTTGTTACCTCTGATTGTGCCTTTATCATTTATACATTTCTGTTACTTTGTGTTCCCTTCTCACCAGATGCGGCATTCATTTATTAGATAAATCAACCAAGATTTGTCATCTTCGCGGCTGTGCTGATACACGAAAGGAACATGGCACATTTCCTTTTCGCCTGTAAAACACAACATCCAAAAGACACTCATTTTGGCTCAAAAATTAGTTCTATTTCTAAGAGGCAAAAATATACATTATAACACTGTGAAGCTAGAGGCTTTACTGAGACTTGAAACAGGAAAATGATTTTTGTTTTGCTTATTTTGGTTTTTACTTTTTTATTTCACACAATAATTGACAAAGTTAAGTGGACAGACAAAAACTTCGCAAAATTGTTCGTCGTTCTTTTAGTTATGTAGATGTCCTGTATTTTTTCCGTTACGCTTACACAGCATACTTAGACCTCTTCCGAAAGCTAAATATCGAGCCCAGGGTCATTTTAATTCCTTGTCAGCGGAAGGGCTCGAAGCGGTAATAACAGAGCGGGAATGTCAGAAGCGGGAATGAATTGCAGCTTGTTTGTTATGGAAATTCGCTCCATATGTGACACATGAAGGGCATTTCCACCCGAGATATGAAAGAAATATAATAGTTATGAGACTTTACATTCGTAACAAAGTGAAATACGACCCATCCAATGCTGGAAAGCCGTTAATATTTGTCGAATTCCCGGATCCGCGCGCGTTCACCGTAGGCCAAGTGAAAGAGGTAAGCGTGACAGAGTATCCTTCATGTTGTTTTAATCCAAGTACGAGCCCAAAACAGCTGATTTGAAGTTTGCAAAATTTAATTCGTTGTTGGATCGTTGAGCAAAGTGCCTCGTTACGTTCAGAACCAAAGCGTACCTGTTTTTATGGAGCAAAAAAATGCATAAAATCCAAAAGCTGGAGGATTTTGCCACCGGAATCAATTTGTTGCCTGAGGGTAGTCTCTCGAACGTCGACCGTAATTCAACCGCCAAGCAATTAGTCCGAAGGCCGATCACGGAATGATCTTGTCCAACATGAGTTGGGTTACTGGTTGTCCTCTCTTTGGAAAGGTAAATTCTGGTAGTATTCTACACCGTTATGCCTTGATCGAAGGAGATTAGACGGGTGACACCCACTGAGAGGGGGGAGTGGTGGAAGGGTGCTCTTGTGTACTTAAGCTACCAGGACTGTGACATAATGGTGTCAAGAGAAAATTATCTATATTTGACTCTGATTAAACCAGAACCTTAATCAGTTTCCCTTGAAGGTTCTAGTTATGTAGAGTCAGCTATGCTATTGGTAGTCAGCAACTGGTTTGAATGTGGGAGTAACATTAGTTTTTGGGGTTTCATTATCTGATTGAAAGTAGTCCAGAGAAGTAATTTTGTTAATAGAGGTGACTGACATTTTGATAACCTCAGTGTAAGTTGTCATCAGAGTTGTGTGAAGAGTTGTTGTCAGTTGAGTGTTATATGGCTGGTTTGTGTAAACTAATTGGTCTGTTAATCTGCAATGTTGTTGGCTGTGAAACTAATGTAAAGTAGTGTAAACAGGTTGTTATTGTTTGGGATTGTTATCTCTTCTCCTGGATGTACATTGTAGGTACAAATTAAATTTATTTTGCAGAGGTCAGAAATACCTGTGGAGATGATACCATTTCACACTTTTTGTTTCGTACTCTCAGGAATTCAAAAAGAAAGCCAGAGCAGCCAGAATAGACTCCTTATACCTCCGTCAAGATGATGGTTCTTATGAGGTTTTAGCAGATGACAGGTAAGATTTTTTCTAATTTAGGTGACTTCAATATTTTGTTGTAGTGGAAAACTACTATGGTCACAAAAGCTTCTGCATAATGGCAACTTGAGAAATAATAGGAAGCAAATTAAAAACAGTTTTCAATGTTATAAAGCACCTTTAGTGTTGTGGATGAATGCTACAGAGATTTTTCATTTATTACTTTGACAATGATCACGCAAAATTCCAATTGACAATTTCTTGACAATATAGAAAACTGCCTGAACAAGATCACATCAGTAATTCTCCTTACTGTCTGCCATACTGTTCTTATGCTGTTAGTTTGAAGAATGTGGTATTGAATCTATTTATAATTCCCTAATTGATATTTTTCTTTATTCTCATTAATTGTCTGCTTGATATTGTATTGATATTGTAAGGAGAAATTCCATGTTGGTCACTCATTGGAGTTAAAGGGTTAAGTTATAAGAGTGCAAGGGAATCATAAGGGAAAGCTCTAAGAGGAAACCTTGTGAGTCAATACTGAATTGTCCTATCAGTTTACATGTAAGAAAATTATTTTTTTAAAAGGACTGTGGGCTTCTACAATATACAAAATAATGCTGTTTTGGAAACAACAAGCAATCCTTTTTGGGCTGCAACAATCTACTACAGACTGCGAGAGGTGGAAAAAGAACATGGTGGTGCAAATCTCACAGATGATCTAAGAGCAAGTAGAGGATTGGAACAGTCTTCCATCCAGAAGTATATGGCCTTAGGGATCCTCTTCAATGGAGGAAACAAGTAAGTCAGAATTTTCTTTTTTTTCAAGAGAGCTTCTCTCATGTTATGCCAAAGTGAGGATGTTGTTCCCTCAGAAATGGTGAATGTATCAAGCTCTTGGTGAAAAATATTAGAGGAAAACAAACTAAATTTTCTGGCAACATTTTAGCTCATATTGCCATTGTCACTTCTTAATTACTCTCTGACAACTTAACTAGACTACTGCACATAACCCTATACATGTAATTAAGTAAGATATTGTGTTTCTCCTTTAGTCGAACACGGAAACAACCTCCATACTTTGAAGAGGTGGATCAGTTATTTGATCACCTTCAAACAGCTGGAAAAAAGCCAGTTCACATGTCACAGCAAACCTTGGCCACATTGCAGCAGCTGAAAGATGAGTATGAACAGAATGATGTCCATGAAAAGGATTCCATTGGCCACTTTGTTCAAAGACAGGCTTTGAAATTAGGACTTGTTTCAAGTAAGACACTAGATCTATAGTGAAAGGTTTGCAAAATTATTGTTAAATAATTCATTGCATGTGAAATACATGGAATGATTCATTAATATCAGTCTGTTTTTCAGTTTTGACTTACCATTAGTATGCTAGATAGTTTCAAGTTATGTAACCCGCTGAATTGAATTATGCTTGCATAGCAAGCATGGTATGTTAAGCAACAGGCCCTGCTGAGGGGTCCAAGTCATGCTCCCCCTAAAAATAAAAAAAATTTGAGTCTCTGGAATGTAATATCCAGCATTTTGGGAAATAATTGAATGAGAAACAATGTTTCAGCCAGACACTGTTGTAAGGATTTTAAAAATAGTAATTTTGTGTTGCTGACCACAATTCACAAAGTAGCTGGCAAAAAAGGGTCTGACAGCTGGCAAGAATCTGCTGTGTGCTACCTTCTATATGTAATAACATCCCTGATTACAGGCATCCATCTGAGACAGTGCTATGTGTGTGGAAGAAACATAAGAGACTCTAACCAAGATAAAATTTAGAAGGTTTCTGTATGGCTGCTTTCAAGTTAGTAAAATGTGCAGTTCTTTTTGTTGTCTTCCCCAATAGAAGAATCACTTCAAAATGGTGATGAGTGCAGTGGAAACAATTTAGAAGGAAATGGACAAGTTGTGGGTGCAGTTCAGAGGTAAGTAAAGCTGTAACAGAAACATTTTCTCTATGTGAAATGGAGTGAAGAAATTCTGTCATGTTACCTGTTAGAAATTTTGTTAGCATTTGGATATGTACCTCATTTCTTTTCATATGATCACAACAGAGGTGGCAGAAATAAGGCTAACAACAGAGGGAGAAGAGTCAATGGGGCAGGAAAGGTGGGAAGAAGAGCTCCACAGAGGCAGCGAATGTGTGGAGACTGTGAAGAAAATGTGGCTACTCTTTTCTGTGCTGACTGTCAGCCATCCCTGGTGCTCTGTGATGACTGTGCAGTTGTGCTTCATAGGGGTGCAACTAGAAGAAACCACCACTTGAAGGGTGAGTTGTTGTTGCTTGGCGCAGTGTGCCTCATGCCATGCATAAAATATTGCAAGCTTAAAAATTTTCTGAAGATCCAATTTTATACCACCCATCCTTTACCATAATGCTTGTTATGGTACAATGCTTTTGGTTATATTTGGAAGAATGCTGCATTTTCATTAGAGTCCTCAGCTTCAGAGTAGTGATCTGATTTCAGGCTGCTTCATATACCACTGTTGTTAATTGAAGCACTCTTGCTTGCCAAAGTTAAAGTTTTCACTTTACATTTCCCCCAGGTTGATAAGGAAAAAAGTTGTCAACTTGTTCCACTTGTTGTTGATTAGAGCAGCATTTCATGAGTCAGACTACTTGTAGCTATATCTGTGTCATCTTTCTTTTTTGTTAGATGTAATAGAAGCACCAGCGCCGAGCAAAGGCTATACCCCTAAAGTGAGTGCAATTATTATTTTGAAAGTCATTTTTGCATTGCCTCATAAAATCTTGATAAACTGGACAAGTCTTCTACTTATATTGTGATGGAGTATAGCAGTAAGTTTTTTTCTCTAGACTTTTGCATTGGTCTGAAAATTGCCCATTAGATTTAATTGCTTATTATAACCTCTACCTCTTTCAAACGCTTGGTAGGCTTCTTTCATTGGGAAATAAGGCATAATAATTATTTGAAATTTGCAGGAGATAACTTTTTAAAAGTAGCATACTAACATACTAAATATATAAGGTGCTGAGTGGACTGCACAGATATGTCAACAATAAATTAATGCAATTTGCGAGAGATATAGTGACCAACTGGTTGTATTTTCACATCTGACTGTTTTATTTATTAGTGTAAATAGAAATACACTTTCATACTCAGAAATAATAATGCTTAATCTTTTAGGCCTACAGAGCACCATTTGCTATGTTGGTTGCATTTCACAGGTATGTGATAATTGTAGCTGTTGAGTAAGAGGTTAAAGAAAGAGTAATTATAACATAGCTAGTAAATTTGTCTAATCAAATTCAATTGCGCGAGCATGCTTTATATTCCTATTGTGCAAGCTCGTGACATTAGCAAACAAATCTCTTGAGAAAAACAAATTTTCCATCGGGTTGAAAATGTTACAAAACAATTGGTTCATGCATCAGCTGTGCGTTCGTTGAGATATGAAGCACTTGGGAAGGTTGGAGAGCACTCAAGAAGCTAGAGTTGCTCTTGCATGGCTACGCCTCAAGCTACTCTTACACATCTTTCGTGCTCTCCAAACTTCCTGTGTGCTTTATATCTCAATGAACACATACTGATGTATGAACCAATTGTTAAATAATGTTTGGGTTCATCAAAGTAACTAGAATTTCTCATTGTCCTGACAGGGCTGCTAATGAAGTTCACAGCAAAATGAGTTTGACTGAAGATGAGTTAAAATCCAGAGCCCAGCCTCTAACAAACACAGATTTGGAAATAAAACAAGGTAAATTTATGTTTTGTCTTAATTAATAACTGACATTACCTATTCCCACCAGCAGTGAATATCTCAGTCTATAATTTTGTAATCTTTTGGAAAGAAACCCTCAAAAAGCCAGAATGAAGATCCAATTGTTTGCCTCACTGTCAGGAACTGGAGAGAATGAACTCAAGGATGTTGGGTTCTGAGGAGATTAAATTTTGTTTTGCTAGACAAGTAAATGGGAAACAGCTTTTGCTCAACAAGGAATGTAGACTTTTCAAGAATAACTGATTAAAATAGTGTTTGCCTTCAATTCTAGCAAAAGAGGTGATATGTATTAGCAATTGAAAGTAGTTCTTAAACCCTTGGAAAAGGGTAAATCTGCAATTTAAAGAATTTTCTCTATTGTAGAAATTACCTTTGTCCTGCTAGTCTCCTCTGGCCTTTAGAGGTCTCAAATTTAAGACTCAGGGCCAGTAATTTAAACAAATTTTAGCCATTGTTTAACAAAGCAATGTTCTAAGCCATCTTCAGTTTAGCCAAATCATTTATCTGAACATTTGTTTTTGTGAACAGTCTGAAGAGGGCCAAAAGCTAAGAATGGAAGGACAGTTACTTAATTATATCAACCCTCTTGCAGAGAATCCCTTTGGCCCGCTGGTTTCGAAAAACCACAGTCTGAAATAGATCTTGTGTAAAACAATAAAGCCCTTAAAGTTTGGAAAATGCCTCAAATTTTTTTTACAGAAATATGCAAACCCATTTTTGGTAAAGCTCTGAAAAGGCCAATGTTTTTGTAACCAATGATGTTTGTTAGTATGCAGAGGTAATAACAAGTCAAAAAACAAAGACCTCATGAGTTTAGTGGGTTGTGTCCTTGTGTACCGGTACACAAAGGAACGAAACATTAATGAACTGCATCACAACTCCATGTATGGATATGAAAACAATCAGAATTCCCCCGTGTACCGGTACACCAGGACAGCCCCGTTTAGTGGCTCTTTACTGCTTTCTGATTTTCAGGACGATGGTCAGGCTTTGACTCAATGGAGAGTGCCCTATTGAAGAATGAGCTTGTACAGAAAGAGGCCAGAACACCAAAGTAAATTAACCATTTTTATTTGTAACTATATTTTTGTTAGTTTTTGTCAAGGCCTGATAGGTTCACCACAGTGTGCTTTCTTGGGCTTGTGGTCTCTAGAGGAACTCTGCTATAAACTGCATGTGACCTTATTAACCTCTTTGACTGTCAACTTTGCAAATATACTCTCCAACTTATAGGTACTCTCTCATGGAAAAAGGCCAGCCTCTTGCTGCAAGGTGCTCAGAGTTTGATTATGCTGTTCAGAATCTAAGACAAGCAGCTTCTATTCCAACCATACCTGTAATAGCAGTGAGGTATATGTCTTTTGATGGCATCTTTGATTTAAGCATAACTTATCTGGTCTGTTGAAAGAAACTTTCATTACTGATTAACTTAACAGATTATCAAAAGATAAATTTGGGAGCTGTTGCCTTACATGTAAGTGCAACAGTGTGGAGCTTTGTAGGTATTCATGGTAACCATGCAATACCAACCACATTGCATAGTCTCTCTGAACAAGGTGGTGAAATATCTGCACTGAACACCTTACTGACTTCTGTTATGGCTGGGATTGTTGGCTGCAAGATCCAACTTCTAATTCAAGTGTGAGTGAGAAATGGTCTGGAAAGATTGGCCCATGATGATTTATGAAAACAAGCAAAGTTCAATTATGCAAACACATGTGCAAGCTCTCAAGGTCTTAGCTGCCACATTGCACAATGCCTGCTTGCATGGGATGGCAGGGCAGCCGTGCCAGTCAGCAAGCCCACACCCTTAGGAAGTGACATTGGATTAATGTGAAGATTTATCTGAGGTTCTTTGAAGGAGGGTAACAATAATAGAAAAGTCACCAAAAGAATCAAAAACACAAACACCTGGTTAGAAAGACTTGTCAGTAGTGTTTGGTTATGTCAGTGTGTGAACTAGTGGAAAAATTACAGTGTATTAGTTTCCTATCATTTGCAGGCCAGTTTTCAGAAATCGCCAAGTGTGCTTGTTAGTTGATAGTGAAGAACCTTTGAGGGAACGCTTTGTCAGAGTGGTGCAACAGCAAGGAATGTCAGCCAAGACCAGAAAACTGCCTGTAGGTGATTTCCTATGGGTCTTACTACCCCCTGGAGTAAATCCTGATACAGTGAGAGACATGCCAGATCAGGAACTGGTATGTAGATATGTGGCAAATTTAATGCTGGAGATCTTTTTGGTTGATATTCATTTCTTTGTGTAAAAATGTGACTCACTAACCATGAGCAAGTGTGCTACGGCTTAAGTCTGTCACCGCATGAGTTACCTGCATATTCTTCTGAATTGACATTAGAATGCAGTAACAACAAGTCATTTGGTTATGGTTCAATCATAAGAGGCACGAATCAGTAGGAAAATCAATCATGTAACAACTTTACAGGTCCATTATAAGTTTGCTGTCTGGCCATGATCATGCAACTACATGTAGCATCTATTTCTATGTCTTGAAAAAAAGACTGTTCTCTGTTTCTTACTAAAAATCCTTGCAACCTCAAGCTTTCCAGAGTCTTATGATCATAGACAAATGGAAGTGGGAGGTTGATGACTGAAATCATTCTTGGTTCACATGCTGTGTCAAACTCAGAGTTCTGATTTAATGTTAATCAGCTTTCTGAGTTTAAAAATGTAAACCCCTCTGGGCATAAATTGTCAACTGAAAGAAATAATTATTGGTTTTGAGGCACTTACATAATTTTCTGCAGGTTCTCCCCATGGTTGTAGAGAGGAAAACATGGGATGACTTGTGGTCCAGTCTTAAGTCCACAAGATTTCTTAACCAAGTCAACAGAATGAAGGTGACTTTAGAACAGATTGGCTAATGTATTTCTCAGACAGAATGTAAGGATGTGTAAAAAAAAAAAAAAAAAAAAAAAAAAAAATGAAATTAAAGAGAGTTTTGCAGTTTTGAAAGAAATGTAGCTAGCAATATCAAGAGAAGGCTGTTTTCAACTTTATTGGCTGCTCATTAAAGAGTTCCTTTATTTCTCTTAATTACTATATTGCATTGACGAATGTCAGGTTTTAAGTTTTATTATTCTTTCTCAGAAATGTGGCTTAGCAAATCTGTTCTATCTTGTGGAGGGTAGCCCTAGGGAACTGAAAGGAAATCCAGCCCCTGAAGTAGCAAGTTTCCTGCAGGTACACAGTGCTAATAACCTAGGTAGAACATAAAAACATAGTGCATGATCATTCAAATTTTTCAGTGGACCAGGTTGGATAAAATATCCTTTATGTAATCCATATTTTTGGGAGTTGATGTTTGTCCCATAATTTCATTTGGAAGTAGGCTCCAGTCTTCTCCAGTATTATGCAAAGTAAAATGTATTTTCAAACTGGTAGAGCAATCCTTTTACCTGAGTGTTGCATTTTCAAGAATTCCAAGCAGTTTTAGGTGTTAATTTGGGGTACTACAGGCACTAAACATTATTGCTTACTGCCTGAAAAAGAGAAAACTGCAGCCCACTCAAAATGAGATTTTTCAGTTTGTTATAAATTATTTGAAGCAGTTTCTTGACAAAAAAATTCAGTTTGCTTCTGTCACAAGTTGAGAGACAGTATACTTTACTGTAAGTGGCTAACTGTGGCAACCATATCGTGAACACTTTTTCTGTAGGATTGCTCATATTTCTTTTGCTACAATGACTTTACCTTTAAGGATAAACTTGATAGTTTGCTGTTAGAGGAGCAGTTTCTTGTGAATCGTACTGGTTCATGGATGAAAAGTGTGGAATGGCTCTGCCATTTAACCAACATGACAATAGAATTCCTGCAGTCAGGTATGCAATAAAAAACAATGTCTTTTCTTAATGCAGCCTCAGGTTAAGTTTCATTCATATCTTGGTCAAGTGAAAAAACAAGATGCTTTTGTGATAAGATGTGTCAATAATGATATTTAATCTTGGAAAATGAGGTAATGTACCCATTTGCAGGGTAAGAAATCAATGAAATATTTTTCTAAGAACCTTTTATGGATCCTATTTTACAGATGGAAGTCTCAAGTTGAAGACATACAGTGAATTTTCAAGAGGAAGAAAATTACAGAGAAACTTAGCAAAACTTGATGCAGCATCTGCAAATCCAGGTACATGCAGGTTCCCTCTGAAAGCTTATGATTATTCTTCTGTAATCAAAAAGGAAAAGAAATTTGAGAAATATGCATACATGACTAGAAAAGTGGCTCTAAAGTATTCAAGATGTTTGAAAGGTATTTTAATTAGGAAACGAGTGACTCAGAAAATTTTGTTCTCAGTTAGGAAGACTTTTTCATGAAAAACTCCCTTTTAAATTATAGCAGTGCTTGTCATTTGATCTCAAGTTAATAAAACCAACTGATAAATGTGCATAGAATACATATACAGACAATTTGTCAGGAAGCCGGATGAACTTCTGGTGGTAACCTTGTGGTGGACTGTCATCCAATCCAAGGGGGAGAAATAATACTCCCAATCACTTAGAGCATCCAATAATCAAATTCTAGACAAAAAGAATAATACTGATTTTTTTTGTTAAATGTAATGTTCACATCTGAAATCAGATCTCACATTAACCCTGGGTTATCCCAATCCAGCTTTGGACAAGAGGACTTTAATTTAAGAATCCAACACTACAACATCTGTACAAGGTAGAAAGGATGTTTTTATTAGGAGATTCATTCATGTCTTCATTTTGTCCATAGTGGCTGCATCTGTCTGGTCAGCATCAGAGTTCACTGACATAATTAGAAGGTAATCACTAAATTACACTTAAGTTAATCTATGTTAATTTGCAATTTGTTATGAAGGTTTGAAGCAGTCACCTGGTTATTGCAACTCATTTCCTTTCCAGTTTATGAGTTCATTTTTTTTTAATGTGTGAAGTAAATCAATATATGAATGAAAGAGCACATTTTAAATGACATTATGAACCCTTTTCTCTTTAATTTTAATTACAAGCTGCTGGTAATGTAAAAAATGGTAATGATTTGAGTTGAAATATGGAAGATGTTGTTGTCATGATATTTTAATAGTGATGAGATTTAACATATTAAAATCACTCTCTTACTACTAGATTGACCACAGCTGCTTAGCTTTATAAACTTGTACATCCTATGTTGATGTCATCATCAGTACTTCTTTGGAAATTGATTTGAAATACTATAAGTTACAGAAATCATAAAATTTCAAATTAAATTAATTCCAGGGTGGACTTGGCTGGGACTGTACAATCCTATAGTCACATAATATTCAAACATTTGTTTAACAATTGGTTCGTTTTCCTATATTACATTTAGCCATAGCAATGGTGGGATGGAACTTCATAGTTTACCTGTCAGTGGTGGAAATGGTTTACAGGAAGAAAGATCTTTGATTGTGATTCAAGGCCTTACTGTTTATAACAAGGTAAGTCTTTTCAACCAATGCAATAAAATGAAGAGTATTTGTCAACTAGTAACTGGGAGAAGAGAAAGGAAAAGAGCTGTCACGTTTGACATGTACCACTTCTCCATGTAAAAAACTTTTTTTTTTGTATCGATCAATTTGTCTGTCAAAGTATGGAAAAGAACCTTTTCTCTAACTTAGTAAGGACAAGAAGTCACAAGATGTTATTTGCTCAACAGTCATATTAATTTTAACATTTTTATATGAACTGATTCTATCCTCTTGTGGATACAATTTAGCAATGTCACAGGGTACTAGACAAAGCCTTGGCTGATCTTCTGGACAACATGCATCAAACCGCCAAAAGTAATTCCTTTGTTATTCATCTCTTGATCATGTTTTGAGTTTGTAGGCATTATTTTATACTTAAAAGATTGGAATTTCCAATTTCTAAAATTATTTTTCTCCCTCAGCTTGCATTCAAAAACATCTTCAAGGTATCACTGACCAGCTTGTTCATGAAGATGTTCCACAGTGGTACATTCTTTGGTTACAGGTTAGCATTCCATACATAAAAAAACAGTATTAAGAATACGTAGTTAACCCCTTCACTGCTAAGAGTGAGTGATCAAGAAGTAGTTTCTCTGAGCCATATTTTACACACCATAAGCAAACAGGTAATTAGAATAATAAAAAATATTAAGAAGGATATTTGTTTTGATTTTGACACCAAATTTTTTAAGAACTAACATTATAATAAATTTGTGGGAGACAGTTAGGTGAATTGCTATTCATATCTTTGGAGTGAAAGGGATAAAATATTTGTTGTAAATATAATCAAACATCTTGTAAGTGGGCACCCTCTTTACCAGGAAGAGTGGCAGCTTTAGGGTAGATCTTCATTGTTGGGGCATGCATTATACTTGCCTTAGCATGAAGAAAACAATTTATAGAAACAGTTCATAGATAGCTTGAATGTTGAAAGCTGGAAATGATAGTAATACATCTTACAGGAAATAATTCAAATTTTGCTTTTTATTCGCGTTCCTTAACCCTTTACACCCTTACATCAGTATGCACATTCTCCAATCTACCATCTATACATTTCCTAAGATGCTGACATGGAGAATTTTTTTAACAATCAAGGGCTTCTTTAGTTGGTGATCATCTCTGTTATTCTCATGATCTCAAATGAATGATTCAGTAGTATAATTGTCTGGAGAAACTAAATGCTGGTCACTCAGGTAGGGTGTAAATTTGCTTTACTGTACATTTAGGTTTTTAAAGGAGCAATAGTGCGGAGAACAGAGACAGCAGAGGAAACAGCAGAAATTTTGAGCAAGTTTTATCAAATGTCAGGAGGTAGGATGAATTATTATCAAGTGATAAACATGGTGCAATTTGATTGCAGCTTGTTAGAAGATAATGAGTTTTCTTTACTGGTGTGTCTCGATCAATATCACTCTGTTTTCTGAGACAATAGCCTTCAGGTAACCTGGGAATTTTTTGAGAGATCTAGACCAATCCAAAGCTTACGGTAGGACCTAACTCAGGAAATGCAGTAAAGATGATGAAAATAGCCAAAGAGTTGTGCGTTATTCATTTCAGGTGTGGCAGATGTGCCCCTGCCTACTCACAGTGATGTCAATGTTGACAGTGGTGCTCAGTTTGGGATTCAACCAGAGGAAAGGTACCAAGTTGGCTATCATCAATATAATAGCTAGTTAGTAACAGTGGCTTCATAAGGGAACCACAACAGCTTGCTATAGTTATAATAATGAGGATTGGAAGGTACCAGTGACCACTTTTGAAACTGCTTAAAAACACCTGTCAAGCTTTATACAACTCCCCTTGAAAAGCATTGCAGAATCATTTAACCACATCACCAGATGAGTACCACTAGTATTACTGTGTAGCAGACAAAACATCTCAAATTTCAATAATTTAACTTAAAGAGCAAACATTCATGTCAGTATGACCATGATGAACAAAACCTCTTTTGTTTCTACAACTTACTTGTACGTGTACCAAGCTTCCAAATTGGGCCAAAATCTCCCTTTTTGGATATGAACTAGGTTTAACTGATGTCAGTTAAGAACAGTAGCAGTACTCAGTTGGACTCTTTTTACATTAGCAAGACTGCTGGATTGAAACACATATATAAACATGAATGTACTGTACCTATTTGAGGAACATTGACTGTGGATATGTGAAAATCATATATGTGAACATAGAAACAGAAATGAACATGAAAGCGATCTTTGTAGTTATGATCACTTCTTAAGCAGTAGTGAAAATAGGGCCTGAGAAAAAAAATCAGGCCTTATTTTCATTACTGTTTAAGAAGTGTCCATTACTGGGAAAATCGCTGTCATATTCATTAAAACACTGACACACAATAAGTATATGTGTAGAGAACTTGTTTTCAGAGTCTGTTAAAAGTTATTTCTTTTTATTATTCATCATACAAGAAGCAAATATAGTAGTTTTTCTTTATTACTTTTACAATTTTTACAATAGTCTGGTATTTAAAACTCGTTTAAAATTTTTGATCTATTGCTAGTCCACAAGGGGATGAACTTGTGTTTGCTAGTGATTCACAAGAGGAAGATGCAATGATTCGTCAGGTTTGATAAAGATGTTTTCCTTAACGTTTTGTTTAATAGACAATTGATAATCACTGTATCACACATGCTCATTTCACTCTCCTACTGTTTTGACCTGCCTGTCATCATTCTTTGTCATTTTTATTTCTTGCTAGTTTTTTTTTTGTTAATCAAGCTTAGTTGTCTCAGTAGGCTTTGCAAGCATCACAATATCAAAACAAGGTTGATGAGGTGCGTAACATTTACGTTATTGATTTCGAGGTGCTTCTTTGTAGTTTTATCCCTATATAGTTAAAATAAAATAGGGCTCTAATTTTATTTAGGTCGTTATGTAGATAGTATGTTGTTATCAGTAACAAGAGGGTTCAAACTTAGATGTCTTGGACTTCACCCCACTGATGGTCTATACTTTTGTTTTACTTTCTTGTTATCAGTTGAAATGTACTTAGACATTTTTATGATTTAACGACTACGATTAATTTCTATTTCTCAAATTCACTCTTTTCATGTTGTGTAATGTCTTCGACTCCTTTTCAGATCAGACCACCAGCAGTTCAACCGTTCATTCCTTCCAGTTCAGATGATGAACTTCAGAAATATTCCCTAGAATCTATGAATGAAAGAGAACAACTGTTGCTGGCTATGAATCTTAGCAAAGTAGAATATGATGCTGAAAGATCTTACAAAGACATCAATCCTGACCAATCTGATAAAATGAGTGAAAGAAGTTTCACATCAGATAAGAACACTCCTAGCAAACCAAGAACTAAGATGGATGTCTTCAAGTCAACATGCACTACGGTTTTTGGTGACAAAGATAACACTGCACATGATGAGCTTGAGAGAGCACTTAAACAAAGTTTGGAAGAGTTTGAAAACCTAAAGAAAATTCAGGAAGAAAAGAGGAAGATGTTGGATGCCGACAGGGACTTGCAGAAAGCTTTGAAACTGAGCAGATTGGAGTATACTCAATCACAGACCAGTGGCACGTGTGAGGGACTGAAAGAAAAGCAAATTGATAATGGCAGCTGTTTGTCAGACAGAGATAGAGAGTTACAAAGAGCATTGGAATTTAGTAAGCTGGAGGCTCACGCTGTCAAAAGGGATTATTATATCGGCATAGTGGAAAAAGCCTGCAATAGAGAGGAAAAACAATCAAGGGACAGTGAAGGAATGAACTTTGTGGAAAGTGACCTCCAAAAAGCCTTAGAACTGAGCAAAGTGGAATATGAACAAGAGAAAACAAAGGTTTTAATGACTTTGAGTGCTGGAGGTCGATCGAAGGAGAAATCCATTTTGGAAAGCAAAGAACCAGAGAGCGAGTCTTTGTCCAGCAACGAGGGTGACGTCGCCAAAGCCTTAGAAGTAAGCAGAAATGATTGTAACAAAGTTGCAGAACACCGAGGTGATGGAGTGTTAGACAAGGAAGAGCAGTACATCACAGAAAAGTGTACTGTGAACGACTTACAAGGAGAGAAGGATGTAGAAAAGGTATTGATACAAAGTTTTGATGGAAACAAAGGACATTCCAGTGACAGTGATTTTCACAGGGTCTCAGAGTTGAGCAGAAACGAGTCTTCAAAATCCACAAATTCTTCTTGGGATGAGAAAGATAAACGCACTGATGCTGAAGTTGTGGTACAAGGATCAAATGCTGCATTGGTGCAGTCAAGGGAAAGACTTGAGCCTGATCGAAACGCAAAGTGTTCAACAACAATCAAGGAGTGTGTTGCTAATGGTGATGTTGTTCCTTCTAGTATACCCTCAGAATTATTTTCACAACATGATAATCATGGTACTTTTCCTGCACTGGGACACTCAACGCCAGCAGGTAGTGCCAAGTGTTCTGCAATCTTGCTGGACTCTCAGGAATTAGATGATGAGAGTGTGGATGCATTAGAACTTCAGATTAAAGAAGTCTCTGAAACAGAAAAGAAACATTTATGTCCTGTAGAGGAAGAAAGAAGTGTTGATGATGACTATGCATATGCATTAAAACTCCAAAAGGAGCTCAACAGTGATGTAAAAGGCTCTGATGGCCACGCCAGGAAAAGCAAGACCTTAGTAGCAGCTGCTGAAGTCGAAGATCAACTCAAAATTTATCGAGAGACACAGAAAGAAAAATTTGTCACATGCGCTGGAAGGGGAGATAAATCCTCGCGTGGGCTTGATTTCAGGAGAAATGTGGCTGCAATTGCTTGTGGTAAACCATTGCAAATTGGTGTTGCCAGTCCTATAAGTAGATCAGACCTTTCTCAGAAGAAGCAGGATTCACCCAAGGACCTTAATGATATTTCCTCCCCTCGAAAACGAATTCGAAGAGATGGAAAAAACTTAGATTATTCACCCAAGAAACCAGGCTTTCATAGAGAGGATGTGTTTGTCATCAGGTGAGAGGAGAGATCAGAGAAGAGCATTGTGATCCCCGTGATTTTTCTCTGTTTGTTTGTTTGTATTTTCTATTTTTTTTTTATATGAGCCATCCAATTTCTTACAATTTAAAAGTGTTGAAAAGTATCCAGAAGATAAAAGTATTCTTTAATGGGTAGTGGGTGTTGGTAATTATTTGGTCATAGTTCAACGACTTCAATTTGGGGAAACAAGTAAAGTATGTGTATCTGCGTTGATGTTTCAGGGATGATGATGATGAAGAACCTAAACCAGCTGGTTCAAGTGGCTTTCCTGTTTCTCCAAGGCCATCCCCATCAGGTTCAAGGTACAATAGGTCTTATTCTGCTCGTAGAGACAGTTGAAAGAACAAATTTAAAAAAAAACAAAAACAAAAAAACGTGCATTTGATCGTTTAAAAAACCTTGATGCAGAAATATTTCAGGGTTGTCATTAGAAAAAGTAATAAATGTGTGATCGGAATTGAGCAGGCGGCTGAATTGAATTATGCTTGCGCAGGGAGCATGGCGTATTGCTACACGGGTCCCGGGTCATGCTCCTTGGAAAACTTTGAAATTTGAAAATCACTGGGACGAGATTTCCAACATTCTGGGCCTTATTTGAGCAACTTTATTCAGCCAGACTTTGAAGTTATTATCGTTTAAAAACAAACGTATCTTCTGTCTTTGATCACCACTCACTAAGTAGCCGGCGCAGAACGGCCTGACAGCCACCGAATTTGCACCGTCTACCAGCTTCCAGTGATAACCCTGCCTTTAAAGTGTTTTGTGACTCCCCTTGAAATGCATCTTCAAATCTTGCTAGAATGTGAATTCTTGATTTTTCTTCTTGATACAAGTATGTTTGATTACACCCCAAGTTAGATATTGTCTTACAAAAACACAGTGGTTAGACTAAATTTTTTTTGCAGCACTTTCGAAAGAGTTCATCCACGTCTTCCCTCTCTTTCAGGTCCTATGGTAAGTGAAATTAATTAAAGTTCGTTGCATTGTCACTAATGTGTGGAAAAAACAAACAAACAAACAAACGAAACAAACAGAACAAAACAAAACAAGCAAAGCAAGAAACGTCATCCTCAGTGACAGAGCCAAATTTTATTCATACCACATTGACGTTACATGTGATCTATTACTAAGCAGAAACATGGCAACGAGGAATCTATTCGTCAATTTGAATTAACTTTTTTTTCAGCATTCCCCCTCTCATCATTCACCTTCTGGGCCAAAAGATTCATCTATTATAAATCATTTATCAAGCAGCAGTGATAAGCCAATGGGACCGAAGTGTAGCTCTTGTGGAACAGTTGGACATAACAAGAATTCAAAAGTATGCCCTAATTACTATTCAGCAGAAGCTGTTCAGCGGAGAGAGGTATGGTACACTCAGCTGATTTAAAGGGGGCAAGTTTCTAAAGAAACTGTGGTGTTTCTTTGGTCGGAGAGTATAACAGTATAAAAGTATAATTAAGTATTATCAACTGAGCTGATAACATAAATGCCCACCGTAAAGAGTTTAAAAGCTGACGTTTAGAGCGTTAGCCCTTCGTCACAACCCTTCTCCCAAAGGCTAACGCTCGAAACGTCAGTTTTAAAATTCTTTTCAGCTGATTTAATGTTGATAAGCAGTCTCAATAGACCAGTTCCAAACATTTCATTGTTGTTTAATTGTGTTTGTATGTCTGAAAGCTAAGTTGTGCAATTTCTAAACATGGGCTGAAAAGGTCAAAATGTCGATTTTCATTCAATGTCAAGCACTCCCTGATATTGATTTTCCAAACATGTGAATGTGTTTGATCATTTTGTGGCCTCTGATTATATTTAGACAAACAGGAATTCAAGGTTTCCATAACCCTTGAAATCCGAGAATCTGATTGTTAGTTCTCCCCTCTCGCTGCTACAAATTTACTTGTAAATTAGTCTTGAGAATTTAGCGGTAGATCAAGATAACAAATTCTACCTAATAAGTTCAGTAATCTCATTACTTGTTTGCAGGATGATAATGCGTGGATATTATCGGGAGAAGCTACGTGTTAATCACTTCTGGGAGTTATAGGGTTAGAGTACTTTTTCAGCGCGATAAGGAGACTGTTTGATTTGTTATCTTGACAGGAACAATCAAGGAAGAGAAAAGCAAAGAGAGAGGAAGAAGAAAGAGAGTTTAATGATCGCTTGGGTGCATTGGTATGTCGGATTATATCATTTATAAACTGTTCTGAACTTGAACATGAGTATACGGTTTAAAAAACTAAACAGAGCTTGAGCCAAGCGTCCTTCCTGCTGGAGTTTTTTTAGGGTTCTTGGAACATGGGGCAATTAATCTAGTATAATTAGTATTATAAGTATATCTATCTTATTAGAGGTTTTGGTGTGTAGTACCTTTGAGTATTTTTAGCGAGTTGTGCTGTATTTTGACTCGACCTACGGGCTAGTCAAGAGGGAAACAACGAGTAAGACTACTCACTCATACTACACACCAGAACTTCTAATGATGTACTTATTATCCAATCTCTTTATGTCATATGAAGTTCTTATAAGGCGGGAAAAGCGAAGCAAGTGGAGAGCGTAGCACGCGCAGCCGACCGGTTAAGCAGGTTTTTGAGAGTTCAAAATAACTAACCGTCCGAATATCGCGTGATATCTGTACTCAATTCGCGCATGGTACTCTACTTACTCAACCGAGCAATTTTTGATTGATATAATCTTTGATTTGTAGTATGACATCATTATCCCCTTCGGCTTTCAGATCTTGTCTTTTGTGACAGGATCTAATAATTGTTCTACCAGCTTTTTGTTTGTTTGTTTTGTTTTGTTTTATTTTTTATTTTTTCAGGCTGCTCAAAGATTGGCAATAGAGGATCGATCAAGAGCATTAGGTGAACAGCTGGATGAGCTTAGAAGACAGTCGCAAAACATGGCTAACACCCAAAAGATGGTTGAAGATGCAATTAAAAAAAAGAGAAAGCGATAGTAAATTAAAAAAAAAAAGACATGGAAAAACTAAGTCAAAGGAAACCATTCTTAGAGTGCTACAGAGCTTCTGTTTCCTGAATGTTATAATTACGGTGATGGTTGTTGTAACAGGTTTATAAGTTAGCATCTGCCATGCTTCAAAATGAGATAATTTTTTCGTGTAATGGTTCATTTGTTGAACTTGGTGGGACATTGTTTTGTTGGTAATATTTTAATGAAATTGTACATAATGTAAGACCCTGAATTCAGAATTGAGGAAGGAAAGTTCAAGTTTGATCTTGGGATATTTCATTGGTTTACATTTATTATGGTTTTTACTTTTAAATAGGATTTGAAAAATATAGATTGAAAAATATTTTTAGATGAAAATTGAAATATTTTATATCCTTGTATAGCGTACACGTATGTAGATGAAGGTAGAAAAATTGCTTTAGAAAAAAACAGCTACTTTGATAACTCACATGCAACTTACCTGTGCAGTACTCATGTAAACGCTTCATACATGTATCACTGGAAGAAAAAGGAGGCTAAATTCCTCCAAAAGTAAAATTTGAAAAAGAGACTGTTGAAAATATTGATAACATTTTACTGTAATTTGTTTTATACCTATTTTTGTAACAATCTTTGTTCTATCATTTAGTCATTATGTGTTCCTGTTGATGTTCAAGTTAGAGTTGCTGTGTTTTATTCAAGTGCAGCCTTTGTTTTGTTGCAACAATAAATGTTTTATGAGAATAAACTTGAGAGTAGTCTCACTCGCAGCCGTTGTCTGATCTTGCCACGTGCGCTCTCTCCGGTGTTGGGGGAGGAAGCGCGTGGCGGAGGGCCGCCATGTTGTTTATTATATTCAAGATGTTAATGGAAATGACGTCTGTTGGTCCTCATCATCTGAATGTCGCCCAGTCGTTAAAAAAAACATCAAAGTAATTGCGTAAATGTAGATATCTTTTCAAGAAATCCAAATTAAATTGGGTTTATAAATACGTCCAGTCCCTGCCAAAGATCAACTATTATAATTTTAACATTTCCTGTCCAACCTTACTGACAATTGACGTAAGCAGCATCTACCGATAATTCCCTCTGCAGTCCTTTTAAGGCGGTTCTTGGTATGATACGCTTCTTCTATTCTTGACCGGAAACACTCGATTGTAGTCGCAGTTAAACTTTAAACACCCTATCCCATTTTATAATATTTGAATCTGAGACCAAAGTAACTTGGCCTTGTGATAGGACATTTTTCCTTTTCTTTTTCCCTTTGAAACGCCTTGCTGAGAGATTATAATTATTTTCTCTTAAAGTCATGTAATCAAAAAGGGTTAAATTTACGAGGAAAATGTAGAAAGTAATGTTAAGGGGTTAAATCACTCTAAGGATTTCCTTTTGATAACACAAGCAAATGTAGGGCGAGAAAAAAAAATAGATAACGTGTAAAGTTTAATAATAAATCTTGTCTACACACAATTGTTTCTCTTTTTAGACTTAACTATTTGTTGATCGGTATTTTGACGATACTTTACTGCTTCTAGATATGGGCATTCCGCCTTCTATAAGGGATATTTCCTCGTTATTTACTCATTTTCTCTTTAACTATTTTTATTTTTGGCTTACAGGAATAGTATGTGAAATTCCAGAGTTAAAAAAATTGTCTACTCTTTCTTTAGTGGCTTTCTTTATGTTCCTGTGGAATGTATTTTTCGTGACTCGTAAAGAGATGTCGGCCTAGAGTTTGCATTTGCAACACCAGTTTTCGTTATACACAAATCGAACAATTGCTTGATAACTGGCGTGTAACATTGTGCAAATACACCTGCTTAAAGAGTCTTTGAGAAATGTCTAAATCGTCGAGTTTAACGAGCCCGTCCGCCATTACGAAATATGCTAATGTTCCTCGCTTAAATCACTTATATCTGTTCTTTGCATTCTCCATTTCCTTTATTCTTCACCGGAAACGCTCGATTGCACTCTCATTTGGACAAACGTCCTCACCCTACCCCCCAACTCGGTATTTGAAAACTCTCCATACCGACAATTGATAATAATTAATGATGCATATTCAAGATGGTCGACTGGTAATCGTGAGCGCGCAACGAGTGCAAGTGAGGTCATCGAGGTCGCGGGTTCGAATCACGCTATAGGAGTTATTCTTAATCTGGCTTGGGGGCCGAATAACTTCTCCCCGAGTATGATTTGGAGCTGGCGAACAAGGAGTAACTCTCAAACTGGCTTGGGGGCCGAGTAGCTCCTCCCCGTGGAATTTGCGTTTTGTTTTTGTTGTCTTTTTAATTTCCCCCTCTTTATCATCACTTTATGTCTTGTTTTTTTTCCTTCTATTTCTGAGCAGTTATATTTTTGGGTCACTCTGATATTTTCCGGTGATGGTTTTGGTACGTCTCGGTTGCTTTTTTTATTTTTTTATTTGAAATTTCTCTCTGTTTATGTTATTATTATTATTATTATTATTATTATTATTATTATCATTATCATTATTATTATCATTATTATCACCAAATAATTTTTTTTTTCAAATTTTCACACCTGATTTATGTTTGTTGGGTCGGACAGTTGCTTAGCAATTTTTTCTAAGGTAGTTTAAACAATAGCAGTTAGTGCCAAAGTTTCTATCGACCACTCCCTTTTTTTTTCATTATTGAAAGAGAGTTGTAGTTTTGAAAAGTAGGCCAGCAATTTGAGTCAATATCTTTCACTGTTTCTACCGTTACGGTCCCATTTATTGGGGAAAGATCTCACCAAACTCTTGGATCGATGTAAGCACCAGCTTCCTGTTGTCAAGGACCAAATAGACCGTGGACTAAATTTAGCTGTAATACTTCAAAGAGAAAATTCCTAATACTCGCAGTTAAATTCGAGAAGAACCTTCGATAAGCTAACATCTAGATTTAGCTCTGACAGTCTTGGGTCTTCTTTCAGAATAAATTTTAAAACAGCATCAAACAATCCGAGTGCATAGAGCTCAGAAAACTTCTTCATAGTAGTCACACCGCACAAGGGAGACCACCTGTTTTTGTAACAGTGACTACCAAGCACCATCAAGAATCTTTCGACAATTTTTCTATTGAAGACTCTAGAATTATATCTGAAAAAAGTCACAGTATTACACCCTTTTATTTGTTAATTCATTTTATAAAAAATTGAATTAGAGACCAAAAAACTTTGGAATTGTGGTAAGTTATATTTGTTTGTCTTTTTCCTTTTCAAATGCGTTGATGTGAGATTAAAATATTTCAATCATCAAATGGTATGAAACAAAAAAGGTTTAAATTAAAGGGAAATAAATAGCAAGTAATGTTAAATAAGTAGTTAAAATCATTGTTATGATTTCCTTTTGATAACAAAGCAAATGTACGGCGGGCAAAAATATTAGATAACGTGTAAAATTCAAGAATTAATCGTGTGTACACATTTTTTCCTCTTTTTAGACTTGCCTATTTGTTGATCAGTATTTTGATGACACTTTACTCCTTCTTGTGGTGCATGAGCATTGGACCTTCTATAAATGATATTTTCTGGTTATTTATTAATTTTTTTAATTTTGATTTTTACAGCTATGGCTTACAGGAATAGTACGTGAAATTCCATAGTTAAAAAGGTTTTCTACCTTTTCTTTGGTGGTGTTCTTTCTATTCCGTGGAATGTATTTTTCGTGACCCGTAAAGCTACGTCGGCCTGAGGTTTGCATTTGTAACACCGGTTTGTTCTGTTACGGTTTTTCCTTCTTTCAGACACCGTTATGCACAAATCGAACGAGAGACCCTTGCTTCTTCACTAGCGTGTAACATTGTGCTTATGCACACACTTGAAGAGTCTTTATGAAGTGTGTGGATCGTCGTGTTCAACGAGCCCCGGCAAACGAGGCCGTCCGCCATAACGAAATATGCTAATATTGCTCGCTTAAATCGCTTCTATCAGTTCTTTGCATTGTTTATTTCCATCAGTCTTTGCCGGAAACGCTCGAGTGCACTCTCAGTCAGACAAACCTCCTCACCCTACCCCCCAACCCGGTATTTGAAAACTCTCTACACCGACAACTTATACTATTTAATGATGCATATTCAAGATGGTCGACTGGTAATCGTGGGCGCGCAACGAGTGCAAGTGAGGTCATCGAGGTCGCGGGTTCGAATCACGCTATAGGAGTTATTCTTAATCTGGCTTGGGGGCCGAATAACTTCTCCCCGAGTATGATTTGGAGCTGGCACACAAGGAGTAACTCTCAAACTGGCTTGGGGGCCGAGTAACTTCTCCCCGTGGAATTTGCGTTTTGGTTTTGTTGTCTTTTTTATTTTTCCCCTCTTTATCATCATTTTATGTCTTCCTTTTTTCCTTCTATTTCTGAGCAGTTATATTTTTGGGTCACTCTGATATTTTTCGAATACGGTTTTGGTATTTAATATAATTAGAATGGTTAAATCGATGAGCAAATACAGAAAGTCATGTTAAGCCTCCTGCAAGTGATATTTTATTTTGAAGATTTCATCAAAAAAACAGTTTGAACACCAAAAAGAAGATGGTTAATGACATGAACCTAATTTTTTGTCCACCATATGGAAACAAGTGGAATTAACAGCAAAACAATAGAAAGCCCAACTGCGTCCGAACTTGACCTCCATTTTTCAAAGTAACTTTTTCTGAACGCACGCGAGGAAAATGGGGACGAGTACGAACCTTCCACAATTTCCGGTTTTCAGCGCAGTATCCAGGATAGCAATGCCTATATGAGAAGAACTATCTGTTTGAAAAATCCAGAAGGCTACTTCCTGAGAAACGTAAGTCACTGGTTGAACAGCAGTACGAAGGAAACAAGCTGCAAGGTACTCAGGCGATTGACGAAAGTGAGGAAGATTCTCGTTTTTAAGCTGGGTAATTATGCGACTCCAGTATAGTTACACTTCAGGAAACAGTATGGTGGTATTTGTCCCTATATTTCGGTATCCGGGCCAGAGATGAAAGCTGTAAATTACGCTGAGGAGACGTGCAACTTCAACAACAGGATGATGGCCAAGATATCTTGGTTTGGTTAGCCGATCGAGATACGGTCAGGAACAAGGACACCAAAGAGCACACCAGCCTAAGCTTTATGCCACCAATACTAGAGATGTCCAGTCAGCTTCTCCAAGAAATCCCGCTGTCATCGGCCGGTGGAGATGAATACACCAGAGTCACTGTTTCATCTGGCGGCCCGCTATATTGGTGTTCAAATGACGAAGTTTGGTATATGAAGGCAATCCTCAGTAAAAATGCGATGAGAAAGTTTTTCTCCACAGCTGCGAAGAATCCTGGGCTGCAGCTTTAAGGAGACAGGGTGACTATTCCTTCTGTCAGGAAAACCTGTATTTCAAGGCTCCTTGATGCAGATATTCTGGAAAACTTTCCTGCTGGCGCAAATGAGGGAGAGTTTGGAAAAAGAGTTTACAATCTGACAAGTCAGCAAGTTTAAGAAGAGACACTAAAAGTGGACTTCTATGATCCTCTGCCGAGTTGACCGGAGATGTAATTATTTCAAGTGTACAAATCAAGAATTTCAAGAAGCCATGCACTCGTTCGAATGCAACGATCACCACCAGCACGAATAAAAATGCATTGATTAGCCTGTCTAACGGTCCTCTACTGTCTTCCACCGCTCCAGTTTTTGCAGGTGCAATCATTGGATCTATCACTGGATGCACCTTTCAGATATTTCATGGTGATGTTAGAATCGTTAAGACTAAAAAGTAGCATCAGGAGCCCATGGTAGCGTCCATTTTTTATCGTGAGTGACGAGGAAGATTGACTTCACACCTGCCTCTTTAGTATGGCATACATAATGTAAAGGATATGTGTATATGCTAAATGCGTCCACAGAAGTAAAAATGCGTGATACCTGGTGTGTACCATTGTGCCAATGCACACACCTGATAGCTTCTTTGAGAAGTGTACGAATTGTAGTATAAGAGTTATTCTTTTAATCTGGCTTGGGGGCCGAGTAACTCCTCCCCGAGAAATCGCATTTTGTTCTCACTGTCTTTTCTTTTTTATCCCCCTTATCATCATCAATTTTTTCTATTTTTTTCTCCTTTTTTCTTTTGTTTTCCTTTTTTTTTCGTTTTGGCTGAGCAGTTTGTCTTTTTGAGTTACTGCTCTATTTTTTTATGATACGGTTTTGGTATGGGTCGGTTGTTTTTTTTTCCTTTTTTTTTTTTCCGAAATTAGTTGTAACTTTTTTCGTCTATTGTTATGGTATTGTTATCGTTCCTAATTTCTTACTAATAAGGCCTAGGTCGCACTATTGAACTTTTTATTTTTTTTAAGCGAAAAATCTGCCAACAAGTAGCGTATAAATTAAGTGCGACCCCAATTTTAAAACCTTACCAAATTTAAAGGAGCCGATGTCCTGCCTCAAATTCTGAAGGCTTCCAAATTTTGAAACATCTCGCAAACAATTTTGTCTTTTTTTTTAACCATTTAGCTATCATCGTGCGCAAGACAAGTGTCGATAAAATTTCATTGTCTATCTGACCCTCAGTTTTCGTTTGGAGGGAAACGAGGAATTTGAGCGAATTTTTACTCGTATGACTGACTCGTACCATGGCAATGGGCTCGGTCACTGGCGGCAATTTGGAGAACAATCGGCTTCAACGAGTACTGCTCCTTCCATTAGAATTATCGGAGCCAGCAAAAGTGGTGCAAGCTGCAATAAAAAATATCGGCAGAAAAAAAAGAAAGCGAAGTACGATACATGGTCCCAACCTCGAATCATGACTCCGCCGGACGCAGAGACCTCGGCGACTTTGACCAAAGATGATTTCGAAAGCCAGCTCTATTTAGGCGAAGTCTTCGTCTTCTACGTCTAAAAGCTGACACTAGCGGCATGAAAACCTGCTGATAATGTACCAACAACATAAAAAACGCTCCGCTATTTTGTTGAGAAAGAAAGGCAAAATTCCACAAACACTGGAAAGCTTTTAAAATAATCATTCGATGCTATCCCTTCTTGCCCAGTAATTCGAGCAGGAAAGTTTTCTTCATCTTTTAATAGCGGGAGATAGGTTTGTGATTGACGTATGTATCAATCAATGAAATTTTGTCAGAGGATACTGGTTTGATGCGACAGCCGCAAAAAATTGGAAATTGCAAAACTTTTACCAATTTTTGGCTTGCGAAAAAATTGGCAAATATTTGACTTCGCTCTAGTGCGACCCGGCCGTAACCGAGCGCGAGGTGATAATGGCGAGATTGATGCAATCATCGACCAATCAGAGCATGCGCATCTCTATAATCACCGCAGTAATCATACTGATAAATAGTATAGTCAACGAAGAGTCTTCTTCCAAGAAAAAAGTTTTGTAATTTGGAGACCTCCATTAGCTATTCTCATCGATTGTATCCTCATTAAAAAAATTATATGTAATTTCTTTGATGTACCCTAATGATCTTTAGCATATTTAAGTATATTGTGGCCTTGCCAAAACAATAAGAAAAACAAGTAGAATTTTAATTTGTCACAGAAAGTGTTTAAAGGCTTAAGTGACAAATTTACATATTTTGAATTTTAAACAATATTTACCATGATAGCTATTGGCCAAATGGCAAAGCTATGAGTTATATAGAAAATTATGTTGATTTTTCAAAAGAGATAATGGACCTCTTGTACAAAAACGAAGTTGTAACCAAATACATCATTTCCACAACTTTAACAGTGAGAGTTGTAATGAAAACCTCACCTGAACAAACAATTTACCATCAAGCCTACTTTAACACCTGACTTTTCATTGTGTTCCAGTTTTTTTTTGCACCCCGTGTCTGATGGCTTCTGGACAAAATGAATGTTTCATTTTTATATTTTTTAAAATTTAGTACCTTTTAAATACCCTGGTATTCTATACAACGTTTTTGACATAATATGAGACACTTGCCAAGTGATAGTTTGAATCAAGTGGTTCCCTTTATGTTGTTTTAATAATAACTATTTCCTTTTTTTGGATTGTGGACGTTTGTTTTTATTTCATCCAGGAAAAAATGGTTTTTATATTTTGAAATGATTTTGTATGAACTATTTCTTCACAACAGTACTAATGCATTAGACTTATGACACCTGCAATACCCCCCAAGCATGAATAATTTTTTTTTACATTCTTAGGTAGAACAATAGTCATCCTTTTAAATTTGAAGCCTTTCATGAAGCTTTTTGTCAATATGGCAAAACTGAGAGGTGGTAAATGTTGTAGTCCTTCAACGACCTAAAAATTCACAAATGAAATTTCGACTTACATCCATAGGAGCCTCTATGTAAATTTTGATGAAGGTAGGAACAAACAGTGATCATTAGGTAAATAAACTAACAGTACTACCCTGATAACTGGGCTTCCTTGCCTCCCCTTCCTTTCCCTTATTTCCCAAGGCAGCTTGGGAGACAGATGGCCTATTTGCTGGTGTTCATCCCAGTTTCAGCAACAAGATATAATGAGGAGTACTGCTACTCCATCCTTGACCTTGAAATAAAGCCAATCCTTTTAAAACTCTTTACACACTAATATCAGTATGCATATTCTCCATACTGTTCATCATACATATTTTGAGGTGCTGACAAGGAGACATTTGTTTAACAATCAAGGGCTTCTTTGTTGGTTATCATTTCCTTTATTCTTGTGACCTTCATGTGTAATTCAAGGAGATATTGCAGGGAGAAATTAGATGTTAGTCACTCTTAGGGGTTAAAGGGTAAACAGGATCATTCCTGGGTGTAGTTAAAAACCAGGGACTATTTTCTTGAAGGTTCCAGTAACTTGATGGCCTGGTAAGTTGTTCTGTTTTCTTTTAAGACAAAGGTTTCAAAAGATTTAAATATTGTACAAAATGGACTAGTTAGATCAGATCCAGAGTTTTAATTACTAACTGACAAACCATTTAACCTGGCAATTTCTTTATTCAGTCTGGTAATTATGCTAACCTAGACTGATTTCCTTTTCTTTGTCAAACACTCATTCTAAACTTGAGTTTTCAAAAAACTTTACTTCTTAAGCCAGTTTGTTTTCCTTAAAAGGTTGGATTCCTCTATGATATCTAAACCCTTACAAGGTTAAAATATCAATTAGTTTTTTTAGACCAGTTTTCATTTGCTATGAAAGCAACAACAACTGTTCTTGCACTGTATTCCCTGACTTTATTAATAACATTAGATCTGAATTACTATTATTACATATAATTTACAATTCTATTAATTTAATATCTGTTTTAATTCATTGCACTAAGTGGACTTTGGCAACAAAAGTAGCAGTAATTTGGCAAAATGCTAAAAGATAAATGATTTTGATCCCAAAACCACAAAATGAATCTAGAAAAACTGACATTCGAGGCCTCCCAAGGAGGACAGGACAGTACAACTTGTAGCAAACAACTTCAATTTGTTGGGATGAAAATGACTGATTCACTGACGTAAGATCCATTCTCATAGGACAGAGGCTGTTCACATTTCTGCAATGTTCCACTTGCAAAATATTGATAGGTAAGTCTGTTAATGTCTGAAACTTAAATATCTTAAATATGTAATTTTTCTAATGAACCAAATAGGGTTGACTGCTAAGCACACCAAATGAAGTATTAAATTGGGTGACTGTAATACTCTTAGAAATACCCAAAACAGGATATTCAACAAGGGATTCTTAGACCAACACATCAAATATAGGGACAGTGAGATTTGAAAAACTCAATAAGATAACAGAAACATTGGGTTCTGTTGCTTGTAAGAAACACAGCTATCTAGTCCTTAGAAGCATCATTTAATCCTCTCACTCCCAGGGGTAACCAATAAGTAATTTCCCTATACAATATCAGTAAATTGATTGGCAGAAAGTTGATTAGAAAAGAAAAAATTAATTAGGAGATATAGCATGATTGATTTAAAACCAAATTCTCAAAGGTAAATAGTGGGAAGCATCTAGCATATAGCAAAGAGAACTGATTTTAATATAAATAACATGTCCTGATTTGATCCAATCTGACTCAGAATTTTAACTTAAGGTCTTGAGTACAGAATTATCAATCAATTATCATGGACATGCAACCCTGAAGATTCATCTATTCTTAGTGGTGAAAAATAGGAAAATGGTCAAAAACTGCTGGTTGTCGTAGAAGCTTTGGTACTATGTTGAAATCATGGGCATTTGAAATCCATGGCAAAAACAAAACCAAATGGAAGGACTTAAATGAAGCAAATGGCTCATTAAGAGTGATCTGCATGATGTTTTAAATTTACAACCACATTACCATAAAATAATTACTCTTTATAAATATATTCTTAGGTTCAGTATATTGAAACTCAACCTGCCTCTATCTATTGTAAAAATGTAAGCATTGCTGTGAGTTGTCCTAAAACATCTTAAATATACCTTTGTGAACTAAGTGCTGTTAAAGCACTGACGTTGCAAATTTTTTGTCCACCTCATAAACTACATGTGGTCGTATGCGCCTCATCGTCCGTCCTGGTAAACAGTGTGGAACGTGACACCAAGAAGGCATAATATCCAAGCAGGCTTCTCGAAATTTACTGATGCGAATGTAATAAATTATGGGCTTCAGGGTTGAGTTTAAGTAGGCAATTAAGACGACTACCAGATCGGCTGTGTAAGACAATGACTTCTCATATCCTTTAAAAAGCAAATGAAAGCGGATCACAGTGAAAGGAAAACCGCAGATCACGAAGAGAATAAATAGGATTAATATAGTGGTAAAAGCCCTTGTCTTGAAACTGTAGTCGATGTTCATCTTGCCTGGTCGGTGCATTTTAGTCATCACCCCACCAGGTACGGGTGGGTGATTTTGAATGCGTGTCGAGTTCCTTCGAACGGTTCTTAAAATAGACCCGAAGCAATATGTCATTACAAGTAGCGGAATTGAAAATGTTGTGATAAAAAAAAACAGGCCATATGATAAATCAATGGCGCTTCGGCTAGGCCATTCCAGCGAGCACTGAATTTGACCCACCTCATAACCATATTTACCCCAACCGAAAACGGGAGGTAAAACAACCACAACTGCCAAAATCCAAGAGATAACAATGTACATTTTCGCCTTTCGAGGTGTGAGTGTGTCTTTGCGTTGGACAATTATCATGAAACGGTCCACTGATATCGTCAACAATACGAAGGTCCCTTCTGTCACCAAGAAGCTAAACAAAACGGCATTTATTTGACAAAATATATCGCCAAAAACCCATCTCTGAGCAATCAAGGATACGATAGCAAAAGGCATACACAGCGATGCTGTGAGCACATCGGCCATCGCTAATGTCGCCAATAAAATGTTTATGGCTGATCGCATGGCGGGTTTTTGATAAACGATGTAGCAAACAATCGAATTTCCCAATATACTGACCAAGCACATTAAAATAAATAGCAAACCAAAAGGTATCACACATGCTGTTGAAAATGGCATGAAACTCGAAGGAACTCGACTTGGACTTGAGGTACTGTTTCCACTCGTTAACAACACATTACTGCTCGCGTTGTGTATACGTTCTGTGTCGTTCACCATAACCTGTCAGCGGCAGGTTCTCTGTTTTGACGGCAGTAATCTCTCGGCATCCCACTCTAGCATCGATCAAAAAATCACCTCTTTGGCACCGTAGAAATTCGCGTGAGAATACGGACCACACAGGTTTTGATCTTCACTTGGCGTTCAATATCTCGATCGTAAGTCAAATTAAAAATACCAGATCGCTGGTTCTTCGTAGCTTGATATTTGTCTTTTTCGCTTATTTAACCGCTGTTAGTGGTAGCTAATTTCCCAACTTCTAGTGCGTAATTCTGATATTATTCCAAATAAAACCATGGCTACTGTCCGCAATTTAAAGATCTCCTGTTTAAATAAGAGACGGCAGATGTTCAGATGTATCCTCACAGGATCACCGCTGTCGCCCACGGCAAAATGAACGCTAAGTGTCCTTCCATCTTGTGAGCGAAAATCTACCTCGTCAAAGCTTCAGCATGCAGCTTTTTCTTGACGAGTTTACATTTAAAACCAAAGTAAATAACTCGAGTTTCGTGCACATATACGTCCGGTTATAATAATCACGTCCCTCTTGGGCGACTGGAAGCCGCTGTAGCTTTGAGCCCGCAAAATTACAGCGGCAGCATAAAATGTGTTTTTTCATTATGTATCTAGTAATTAATCTGTAACCACCCAAGTGCATGGTACAAATTTGAATTTAGATGAGAGTCTTTTCAAGCTGTGTGGTAGCTTTCCCTGGTTTCTATGGAATTTAGTACAATAAGAATGATGAACCATCGGAAGGCTATGATTTATCCCACAATAAATATTTTTGTCTGCTATTCTATCGTTGTCTTCTTTTTCTCTTTCAATCGCTCAGAGAACGCTTTTTTTTTTGTGAGAGACACTTAAGAGAATCTTTACTCGTTGGTTATCACTTATTTGAGTTCTATCTATGAAAACACAATAATAATGTTTATAAGACCGTCCTTTCCCCTCCCACCCCTCCCCCGCCTATCACCACCTCACGCGCGGAAGGTCTGGTGAGCAGTTGTATCAAATTTCATGTAAATTAACAAGACTTCCTGTCAATATTCCAACTGGCAAGTTTATGGCTCGCATTTTCATGCTTTTATCGAACAAATGAAATGTTCTTGTTGGTAATTGGCTCTTGAGGAACTGAAACTGCTGTTCTCTGTGAGATGCAGTGCCCATTTTGTCGAGAAGAACTTGGTGTAGACCAATTGCAGCTTCACTGTTTAGTCTGCACTTCGGCCTATGCAGGTAAAGGTTGTCATGTGTAGCATACTTTTGTAGCTCGTATTACGATGAGTTTAAACTTGAATGTTTTGGCCTGCGAGAGTGGGGTAACAAGTGATTTCGTTAGGAATAAAGCCTTTGAAGACAATGGCCCCTCAACTTTCGTTTTATTTACGATTTTACAGATTCTGCCCGCGCCCCAGTTGTTCGTAGAGTGGACAGTGTTGTAGTTCGCTTTTGTTGGGTCGAGTCGAGACCTTGCATCGAGAGAGAAGTTCATCTCATAAGCTCGCTGGTAAGTTTAAAACCCCAAATAGATATTCCTAAGTGTCTCCGTAGGAACAGAGATAATTTTGAAACGTACCGTATTAATTTTGTCTATTGTTACGTTACTTTGGTAATCAGATTTAGAAGATATCCGGAAGTCAGAGTTTAGAAATTGATTGTGGTTCGTTTGTTTACCTTTCAAAACGCATTTCGTTGTCTCGACTTTCTGCCTTTAAAGCAACTTTTTATTCAAAATAAGCCGTTTTTGTTGCTCTTAAGGCCTTTGGCAATTATTCTTTCTTGTGTTGGTGCGAAAATTTCTCTTCTCCTGTCTCTGTACATGTACTAGCTTGATTGTATAGTAACAGCATCTCTCTGCGAATGGCCTTTTGTTTTCTCTCTACTTTCGTTTTCGCCGTTTCAACAATCTTGCTTCAAGTTGTTAGGATGGACTCGTCAAAACAATTTGTTGGTGGTGAGACGTGTCTAACGTAACGAGAAGGTTCTTCATTAAATTTTAATGGTCATGTTTTGTCGTCGCAGAACTGAACAAATGACTTCTTCAAAATGAAACGAGCTTGTTAGAAATGGCAAATGTCTATTGAGTTTGAGGCAAGATAGGTCAAAGCTTGTTTTTGTGATTTTCCATTAACATGTAGTAATTGAATGCATTTACAGTATTGATACAAAAGCTTTGTAATGACTGGCTTTTTTAAGCTAACAGGTTTTATGTACTTGTGGCATGAGTTTCAAAGCGTGAATGCAACGATCAGCCTTTTAAACTGTAACTTAAGTTTTTGGATCAATTTTTCGCTACAATAGGCTGGTTCTGTGACTCTGCAACGGAAATTTGGCGAAGGACTGTATGAGTCAGAAACTATTGGGGTCCCAGTTGGAGAACATACCTGTCAGCTTGCTATTGGTGGTGATGTCGTCTCCACAGAACCATTTACAGTGAATGAAGACAGTGATGTTATTTTTGTTATACTGAAAGAAGGTAAAATACTGCCACTTAGTTGCTTTCCTTATACCCACTGTTTGGGACTTTGGCATGCTGCACAAAATTAAATGTCCTGGAAGGGTAACCAACTGAAGTCAAAGTTCAAGATATGATGTCATCAAGAGGTCTTAATGAACTCAGTATGGTTATTAATAAATATTGTAATCAGTAAGAATGAGGATTCATACAAGAATACTAATTTGTTAATTGAACATTGTAAAGAATGCCTTTGATTACTGTAATCAGTGACAGGCACTTGCATGACTTTCAAATAGTTAATTAAAAATTTAATGTAATTAAGAAAAGAAGCTAGGCATATTGCTTCCACCCACGCTCTTTTAAATCATGGTGATGGCGGCTTACTAGCTGATGCCTATTTATACCTTGTCAGAAAAAGGGGCAACAAATTAGTGAGCAAATAAAAGGACCTCTAGTTGCAGCCATTAGGTCACCCCTGATGAAGGCAGTAGACAGGAGTGTCAAAACATTGGTTCTATGAATTGTAACTTCTTGGTTACATTCATTAAATCTTTAAACCAGAGTAGCATCAAACCAAGTCTAACCAGAAATTACTTCTGTCTCTGTTGTAATAAGTAGTACGACCCACCCATCTTGGTTGAATTCATCACGGGATTCATTTTCTAGGTTCCTCATACAGTTCCAAAGGTAGACCTCAGTAGTGACATCATGGTGGGTGCATGGTATATGGGTCATGAGGTCTGGGTTAAAGACCTGGTCTGGTCAGTGTGTTACGTTCTTGGGCAAAACACTTTATTCTCACAGTGCATCTCTCCACCCAGGAATAGAAATGGGTACTGGTGAATTGTCAGTGAAGCTTGATGAAATGCTAGGAGGGTTGGGGAGTAGGGAATACTGCAATGGACCAGCATGTCATCCAGGAAACTGGGATAAGCTCTGGCTGGGTGGACCACTTGGTTTGAATACAAACCTTACCCTTACCCTTACCCTTACCTCTACCTTTCATCACAATTCACTGTGGCATCCATTTTTTACTCTTTTGGTGGAGAGAGCAGCTGTTAGGGTGGAGTTAATTATTCATTAGAATACTGCACAATGAAATGAAGCCCAAAGGTCTTAAGGCATTTGGCTAGAATGTTTCTTACAGGCTGTACTGATGCAAATGTAACTCTTCTCCAGATCCTCATCAACATGAATCCAGCATTTATTTTGGTGATCGTGATAGGCGAGCAAGAATCAGCACTGGTGAAGTAGGCTCTCCTCGACTTGAGAGAGAACCAACAGAAACCCATCACAGACCTCTATATCCACTTGGTAAGAGAAATACTTTCAGTTACTCCTTGAGTTAGGCTGTGAGTCAACAACACTCAGTTTCCTTTGCCAAGGTTTATCATTTTCAAAAAATTCTTTAAATATTTTCATCTGTGGAATGAAATGTCTTTATTGAATTTTTTTGCTGCAGATGTGGAAGCAAGAGAACCAAGAGAAAACACAGATGAGGTTTTAAATGAGATGAGTCCACTTTACAGGGAGTTACTACAACATCAAGTGAGTGCAAAATCATTCACCTTTGCTGAAGACCAGTCTCTATTGATTGAAGTAAACTGCTGCTCTTAAAATATTTATAGGACTTGTGCTTCTGTTGTGATGATCAATTTGTGTTTGACACTGCTAGTCTGCATGAAATAATGAGAAACCTTAGGTCTGAAACTAATCAAAAATCCTTGAACATTGATAACCACATCATGTCTATGATCTTGATTTTTAAGGTACAACATAAGCTAAATAAGTGATGTAACCTGCCTAAAACACTATTTGCTATTTTTGATTAATGTTCTACAAGTAACTACATTTTAAAACTTCAGAAAAGTGGAAGTCAAAGGATTTCAGAGCCACCTGGCCATTCAACTCCACCCAGGAGTTGTTAATTTACAGGTTCTACCTTCATATTGGCCTTTTCTGTTTATATTTAGACACTTACAAATAAAGACCTTTTCTCTGTCATCGTGCAACTATTCAAAATCTGAAAAAAATTTTTTTGTACTTTCTGGCAATGCAGAGTGGAATAAAAACTGTTGTCATGTAATTCAAGGCTTTAGTTAAATCTGAGAATTAAATGATGATTGCAACTGTTGAATCAGAACAGAAGATTGATGATCTCCTATCCAACAAAAAGTCTTCAAATTTATCAAAATAGGTTGTGGGCTCAAAATTTTTTCCTGTTATCATACTATGCATTTTGTTTTGAATAAGTTATGAGAATTGGGTGTAAGATTCAGTTAACAACTTCAACCTGATAAGTTTGAGTATTCTCTGTACCAGTTTGCAGGATGATGTATGGTTATTATAGGGAGTTCAAGTTAAATATCAATCACTTCCAGGGTTAGCCTCATTTGTTTGGGAATGGTTTTGCTTCAATATACAAGTTGCTCTAAATATACCAATATTACAATCTAAATCTAACCCTCTTGTGTTTCAATAATCTAAAAAAAACTTTTGTACATGTACTACTTGTGGCAATGGTGAGATTTTTTTATCTTAAACATCTTGTTGATGTGGCTGATTTTTTCAGTGTCAATAGCAAAACTATTGATTGAAAATAGTCTTCAAAAGTCTTAGATGTAACCTTTTAACTCCTAGAAGTGATTAACATGCATCTTCTCTGTTATGAATTCATTTAATATCTTTCAACAAATGGGTAATAAGAATAATCAAATCTATCAGGTGTTAGGTGTTATCTTGATCTTACACCAAAAAATTCTAGTTACTAATTTACATGGAAATGTTAGTAGTTGGAGGGAAGAATAAGCAATCAGATACTGAGAGTTGAAGGGTTAGTGTTTAGTGGTATTTTAGTAACAGTTGCTGTACTGAATTGATGTAAATTTTTTGAATTAGTTGTCTTTGTTGTGAGGAAGCATTTTATTTTGACTTCTAATCATTAAGTATTCATAAACCATGATAATTAAGCACCCTGCTCACAGTGAACACAAGAATTACCCTATGGTGTATTTGTAAACTCTTCCTGCATTCTCAATGATCTGTAATAGCTGTTTTCTTCAGTCTGTAAATTATAACTTTTATGTAGGATGTTATTAGTTGTTCAAAATCAGATGACAACAAAACAAAACAAAACATATAAAATAAATTGCTTTCAGTTATGATGTATTTTAGGTAAGTAAAACTATGTTGGGTATCTTCTTTAAAATGTAGATCTCCTAAATTATTTTGAAATTATTGTTGTTTTAGTCCAAGTTTTCAAAAGGGTGAGAACTCCAACATACATACATATGTTTCCTATCCCCAAAATTTTAACAACCCTTGTAAAACATCCTCAGACAAGAACTTGTGTTATTTAAAATATTGTGGCCAGTCTCTGATGATTTGTTCTTGTACTGTAACTTATTTTTTCAACCATTTAACATAAAAAAAACATTAATTGAAGGTTAGTTTGCGTAGAATTAAAAAAGAAAAATTTAGCATGCATGTTGATGATGTATTTTTCAATTTTAATTTCCAACTGAAGTAGGAATCATAATTATTGCCATTGTAATTAGCTTGTACTACTTGAGATGTGATGTTTACATTGCCTCTGACTGAGTAACTGTGTATCTGCCAGTGAGAGGAAAAACGTGTCCTCTCATTAGCAGATACAGATATCAGTGACTTTCTGTGAACATGGTCATGTTGAATTTCTGAACATATTTCTTGAGATAAAATTATTGTGGTGAAGAAGAATTGCCAGAAACCCATGCACTAGTAAACTTGTCGTTTATGTGAAGTTCAGCAATATAAGTTTTAGGTCTTTTAAGAATACACAGTCTACTAACAAAGCAGACTTTGGGTAAATTAATGATCTTTATTGAAGAATTTAATGGCTCAGTTATTCAAGTTTATAGCATGCGATGAAATATTGAGGTCTTAAATATTGACCACACTGTTTTTGAATTTAGTACAATGAGGTAATTGCCTTCTAATTATTCTCTGAATAAGTCTCTTTAAATTCCTTTTAATCAAACAATATCACCTTGTTGTTTCTATGCAGCTTAGCCACGGTGAGCCCTCATGGGTCCCTGGAAGTGGTGTTCAGTCACCTGTAATGTCAGAAGTGGACTTCAGTGATCTTGCTGGTCTGAGACATGGCAATGAGCCCTCTTCTCTGACACCTCAGCCAGATTCCACGGAGGAGTTGTGGCCACAGAGTCCAATCCTAGCACGTCCTGTCCCTTTACAGCCAGGACATGAGGTGGAAGGCCATCCAGGAGATGCATCTGATGGAAGTGATGGTGTTCTGTCACATGCTGATGGTGAAGAGGTAGAGGATCAGGATCAGGATCAAAGTGGTAAATTCTTTTGTACTCGCTTACTTTGACATGTATTGGCATCCTCTCTAACTTTCTAACATGAGCTTTACCATATTGTACCGAGAATTTATTCCAGCTACTTTATACTTTACCCTATCCAACAGAAGTAGTTACTTGAAGGTAGAGAGGGTAAAACTCCAATTAACTAGAGGTGTCGAAGAACATCTTGGCAGGAATTTTTATCCTGAGCCTTTTAAAAAGTGCTTACTAGAAATTATACATTTCATGGAAGCCATTTGCAACCCAGATTTTACAGACATGTCAAGATAGAATCATTAAGCGTACTATCTAGATAAATTTGAACTACTACTTGCCGTAATTGACGTGTTTAAAGACATTTGTCATTAGGGAGTTGAATTGATAGCCCTTGTTTCCTATTCGTCACACTACAAGATTGACTCTCTTTTATATTTTGGTGATAACTGACAGACAATGAAGCAGAGGAAGTACCGGAAAGTTCTCCAGTCCCAAGCAGCCATAGTGAGCACGAAAGTCGAGTATCATCACGAAACAGCCCAGTTAGTAGGTTAGTAACTTTGTCATTTATTTATTTTGATTCACTATTCTATAATACTGCGTTTATTTTTGTTGATAAGTTAAAGGACATTTTAACTTCATGTCCATTTAACTTCCGAAAGTATTTTTGTCATTTGTGTTCACAGTATACCAAGTGAAACAAGTGCAAGAGATGATGCTGTAATAAGTCCCTTGCCAGATGAGACCCTCAGGCATGGAAGCCCACCCCCAATAAGTGGAAATCGATTTGCCGAAGAACACACAAATGATGTTTCACCACACACAACTCCACGGATCACACCAGGCGGAGATCACAATCATACAGAAGAAACGGCTCGTGGATCCTCTGCAGGTCAGACCCCTACTGAAGGTTCTGCTGTGGAACATGCTCATTCCTCTCCCAGGGCTAGTCCCGTGGGCTCTGTTCTAGAGACTGTCGCAGTTCCTGTCACTGATACAAATACATCAAACCGTGCAGAAATGCATAGTGGTCGTGAAACCAACACTCCCCCTCCGAGACAAAGTCCTGCAGGATCAGTACACAGCAGTTCCTTGTTTTCATCTGGTTTACCAACTCCAATTATGTCTCCAAGAGATCGCTGCCAGTCTGCCACCGGTATGCCATCCGCATCAAGAGGGAACCCTCTCGGATCTATACACGTTCAAACGCAGCTTCCATTAAGACCCCAGAGCCTAGGTGGTTCTGTAAATCTCACTGACATGGTCCCCATCTCATCAGACTTGTTAGTAGGTCTAAACCCTTCATCACAGCAAGAAAGTCCGTGGATACCCATTTCTGGTGCAGAGGGGTCTCAATCCCCTCCAGCCATGAGGCGAAGTCCTGCAGGCTCCATTCATGAATCCAATTTCCAACTGCCAAGGGGATCTGGAGGGGTCGATGATTCCAGCAGACACTCGAGCCAAAGGAATACTCCTGTACTTTCCGTTCATAGTGGATCTGGAAGAGAAGCTAGTCCTTTGGTAGCTCCACCAAGGACTTTACCTTTGAGTGACGGTGGAAGTGGTAATAGCACACCCCTAGCTCACAGTCCAAGGCAAAGGACATCAGAAGGAGGGAGTCCGACTCAGTTTCTCATTGAGGCGATTTATACACCGGCTGCTGAGTCAGGTACATCGCCATTGCCAACTGGTTCAGCAGTGGCAGCTCCCCTTGTTACGCCATTAGCAAGTTCAATGGGAGACCAAAGAAAAACCAGCACGCCTGTTGTGGAGGATCCAAGACGTAGAACATCAGGAGATGAAAGCACATCGGAACGTATTCCAAAAAGCGATCGCAATCCACCTTTAGTCCCTTATAATGGTGCTGCCTCGATACCGCCTCATTTATTGCCTTCATCAAGTTCTAGGACAAGCCATCGAGAAAGCGAGAATAGTACTCCTGTCCTGGACCGTTCAATTCATAGAACACCAACACCAGGAAGCCAATCGGAATTTTTAGCAGAAACAGCTCGCAGACAAGGTACGCCATCGGTTGTTTCTCGCCATGGATCGATACCTAGCACTCCTCCAGTACTGCCACAAACAAGCCCAAGAGCAAACAACAGAGGCAGCGAGAATAGCACTCCAACAGTTCGCAGCTCAGGGCATAGAAGGTCAGGAGCAGGGAGTCCATCAGAACTTCTCGCAGAGATAGCCTACAGGCGAGGCACACCACCAGTTTCCATGCATGCCTCCCACGGCAGGAGCTCTAGCAGGCAAAGCTCGGCTTCGTCTGTCCACAGTCGACCTAAGCATTCACCTCCTCGGGTCGTTTCTCCCCCATTTCCTCGCGAATCAGCCATTCCAAGCCGTGTAAGTGCATTCGCCACTGTGGATGGACAGCGCGGACCATCTTTAGCGGGAACAGCATCAGAGATAGAGGCTCTTAGAGCAGAAAGGGACTCGCTCACGAGGGATTTAAGGCACAGGATCGCAGAGCTTAGACAGGTTAAGTCCAAAAATCAGGACCTTGAACAGCAGATTTTGAGCATTGAGGTAGGTTTATTTCAGCTGTGCCTCATCTAGTTGGGTGCAAAGGAATTTTGGATTGCCAAAAAGAAGTTCCCTACGTGATTTACATACTGATTTCTGTAAATGGGGTATTCATTAGTCGATACTACAGTTTATTTTTCTGTGGAATTTTTCAGTCATAATGTTTACTCAGAAATTTAGTGAACTAGACTCTTTTTTTGTTCAGACTGTGGCCAATCTAACCAAACAAGATGACGAGAAAACACGCGAGCTTGAGCAGACAGTGCAGAATCTCAACCGAACCATCCGCGAAAAAGACGAGGAAATAAGCTCACTACAAGAGTCCACAAGGACACTGCAGCGAACAAATCAGCAGTTGAAGGAGGAACTGGAGAGTTTGAAAACTGTTAATGAGCTGCAACTTGATGACGTGAAAAGAATCAATACAGATCTCGAAAAGGAGGTTTGGAAACTTTTTGTGTAGTGTATATTTCTGTGGAATTGCGTGTGGAAGCCATCTTAGCTCTCGGTGTATTGCTGTGATCAGGTAGAGCCTGGATGTCACACGCGGCTAACGTTTTACAGGGGGAAACTTATCTAATTTTGCTGTTATAAGGGCTTTAAAGAGCTGGCAAGTCCAGATCACTAAAATCACAGCCCTTTTGGAAAGTAATTCGTCTCAAGAGAAAAACATACATAATTATTTATACTAGTATTGAGGATTATTAAGGATGGAGGGCATTTATACTCGTTGATTATTACAAACAAGAAAAAATTTGGACTTCAGTGGTGCAGCACTGTCACTTTCCTTTGTTCAGTTGATGTGAAAAATCGTACTGCTGTTAAGGCGGGGCAAGAGAGGATAAAGTGACTCACTTTATTCTCTCTTGGGCAGGGTTACTTTTGGTAAGACACCTCACCTGTTGAAGTCAGTAGGTTACTGAATCGCTAAACTCATGGTTGTTTTTATCTTTAAGTTGACAGTTGCACGGCGATCTTTAGAATCAAGCAAAGCTAAACGAGGGAGGGAGGAAGGAAAGGTTATAGAGTTGAAAGCACTCAATGATGCGTTTGAGCAGCACGTACAGCGACTCGAAGAAGAAAAAACAGATCTTCAAGCAAAATTAAAGAAAGCCAAGAGGGAGATTGAAACGATGAAAGCTTTGGGTAGCTCAAGACTAGGCAAAGCCAAAAGTGAAACAGACCTGTCCAGAAAATTTGACAAATACACCGCAGTCGATGAGCATCGTTACAGAGATCCACGATCCTCAAGAACAGTTAACTTTGCCACCACGAGTCGCCACTCCTCAGCGCTCGGAAGCACTCGGCTTAGTTCGTGGGATACGAATAACACACGATCGGCCGACATTGAAGTGTCGTCTCCTGTGATAATGAACGGTCACGGTTCACTAAGGCCCGACACTAATCCTGGCTCTTCTTATACGTTTTTCCGGGATACGCTCCCACGCGAGCCATACAGCATCAGGACTACAGTACCAAGGCACCGCATAGGTTCCCTGGGAGAAGAAAGTGACATGTCGGATGATCTAGATCACGGTGTGGGTTACCTCACTGCAACCCAATCAAAATGGCGCCCACAAAGCCCTGACTCGTCAACATCGTCTGTTATTTCCTGGGACCGCGATTACAGCACAGATGAGTCAAGGTCGCCGAGAGCCAGCGCTTACAACCAAAGTTTGGCTCTCTATCGTGATGATAGAGGTAGTGGGCGTAGAGCAAGGCCGCACTCGTATCACGGTGGTAAGTGAATGGATGATTGTAGTTTTTTGTGAAGAAGTTTGCACACTAACAACAAAGACGATGAATAACACTAAAATTGACTCGTTAGAGTCGCTCTCTTTTTAATCACAGTGTTTATGTTTTCCATCATAACCTCAGGAATCTTGGACAACCTGCACAGCAGCGAAGGCGGAAGTACTTCACTTCATCAACGTTATAGCGGTGCGTCAAGCTCCTCTACTAATGCGAGATTACTCACTTCAAGTCCTCACCCTCCCACAGCCGGCGCTTCTCGATCAAAACTCTTTACGAAGCCTTTTGCGCCGACTTCATGTGAAGATGTCCAACTGGGTATGGGAGTACTGGTGACTAGGTCACGTGGACAGATTGCCCGTGGAGTAGTGAGGTATGTCGGGCTGATACCAGGCCGCAAAGATACATACATCGGAGTGGAACTGGGACCAGGTCAAGGTAAGTACATATTGTCATGAGGACACATGCAAATGGACTTCACCTGAGATATCTTTCTGACCTGTTTTTCTATGAGCTATGAACTGGCCGGAAAATGTTCCATTCAAACAGTCGACTCCAAAACCGCGAAAAACCTAAAAGATCACGCCTTTTTCATTCCCGAAATCGAACTTAAATTTCCTTTACGGGCGATAATGATTCTGAAACGTCACCTCTGTAATCGGGCTGAAATTTCCTATATAAACACAATAATTTTTTTCTCCGTTAATCAGACCTGAACTTGGTGGCGGCACTCATGTTAAAAGGCAGTTAATATTTGTGTATTTTCTCACGAGATTACAGCTGAGATTGGCATTTTACAGACCAATGAAAATTGTAGAAATTTACTTCACAATGCTCTAGTTTATAATGATAAGATGCTGTTTGTGTATGTGGTGTGTTCTTGGTGTCAACTGTTTATCTTCGTTACCATTTTATCTAGAGGGTAAACACGATGGATCTCTTGATGGAAAGAGATTATTTACCTGGTAAGTGCGAACTGAGAGAGTGACTACTCCTTATATAAGGTTCTCTTTACTTTACATTTTCAATTCTATTTTAATTCATTCGCTGCCGAATTTTTCTTTCGGGCTCGTTGAACATTTTACACCCTGACATCAGTGTCCATATTCTCCACACTTTTCTCCATGCATTTCCTGAGGTGCTTGCAAGGAGAATTTGATAAAAAATCAATGACTTCTTTGGTTGGTGGTGATTTTGTTTATTCTCTTTCAAGAGTGATATTTTAAGGAGAAGTTGGAAGCCAGTTAGGGGTTAATGGGTTAAAACAGCATGTCAGTTTTTTTACGCTGGTTGAGTTTGGTAAAGCTGTTATGGTGGGGGTTAAAATTTTTTCTATTTTTCCTTTCTTCAGTAAACCAAACCAAGGCATCTTCGTCACCTTCAACAAAGTAGTCATGTGTTATGGTTGAAGGTTATACGTAAAAGCTCTACTTGTTTACTGCGTGTACGAAGAAGCTGGATTGTGACTTTTGGAAATGAGGCATCCTGCGAAGAACCTTTTAATCAACAAGGACAATTCCATTCAAGATACATTACATATTTACAACAGATTTTTTCTTCGTGTCCCAAACATAAAACTACACGATCGTTGTGTTTTATATAATTTTTTAGTGTTGTTAAATGCAAACTTTTAGTATTTATTTTCTAAACGGGTGTTTTAAAAACATGTCATGTGGTATTAAGGCTTCCTGAACGCCGAGAGGGTCTTACCCTCTCACTGATATTTTTTTTGTCCAGCTTCCCCGCCCGGCGTTTAGTTTTAAATAAGAACACGCCAATTTCATCTAGGAGAAGGCCTCGTGTTCGGGGCTGTCGTATAGAATAAGACATCGAGGGAAGTTATAGTATGGAACGTGAGTCCGTGTTTATGCATCTAACAGGTGACTAACGTAGCTAACAGACTTTCTTGCACGATTGGTAATCAGCGTAGATTCGAATGGCCGGGTAGGGAAGAAGTGAACTCTGAGAGGAGCATGAAAGAGTCTACCAGACTAGTGAAACAGTCTTATGGGAGCAATCCTGAGAGATACTTTTTCAACAAGCAGGGAAACCTGGAATGGGTGGATTTCTTCGTCAAGTTCTCCCTTTGTGTGTGTTTGCGTCATACATTTGTCAATACTGTATTTACGTGGGACGCCCATGGAAATTTTTACTTTTGTAGCCAGAAAATCATTTTATAAAGTTTCCTTTTACTTGTAAATTAACTGACAGGTTCCCGGAACGGGCAATGACCCCATCTCCGCATTTATTAATGACGAGTTTTACAGCGTGTTGACATTTGACCTAACTTTTAAGATGCTGATAAGTCAATATCGTACATTCGTGGTATAGAGGTATATTACGTACGTTGTAGGAATCACCTTCAGCTTAACGTGTTTTACTGCTTGTAGACTGTAGGAAGGCTACAGGTGTTTTCCTTTCGTTCTTATTGGTATGGTGTTTTAAACCCAGTATAATCTATACTTAAGCTCAAACGTGTTCAAGTATTTTCACTTGTTTTCGATTTTTAGAGGGAGCTATCCTTAAAAATCGATAGACCGCCCGCAGCATTTCGCTATTTTTGTGTGTTCGCCTTTTTTTTTTTTATCTGTTTGTTCCATGAAAAGATACAAGGGCGCAATGAGGAGAACTGTAATGGGGTTGAAGGTGGGAATAATGACGAGATTTATTTCTCGCCCTCCCCAACCGGGCCCTCAATCTCACCTCTTACTGGTTGGTGGCTGGTTCTCGGTGTGTTATGTTGTCAAGGTTTTCCATAGTGGTTTTGTATCCAAAGCGGACAGGTATTCGTATTGATGCAAAGAATACCTGCTATCTTAACTTGTACAATAGAAAGGTTAAAATTAAGTTCATGATTATAGGTTTGATTGTATTTATTTACCCCAATAATAATAATAATTCAGTCTATACTCCCAATTGTAATGATTCATATTAAACCGTGACATTCTGATTCTGTGCTCATGCTAAAGACAGTTGATTGCAAAGAAATGGCAAGTTTTTCCCAGCCTCCAATACCACCCACTTACGATTCTCTCGTCAGGACCCAGCATGTAAGAAATTCTGGTTAGTGTGTTTGTTCCATACGTCACTGTTCAACTCAGGTTAGTAAAGGTTAGGTTAGCCTTTGTATCATTTTATAGGAGAACTGCACCCAACAAGAAGACACAAATTGTACAAATGGGGTGAGCAAGAGTTTCCCTTACCGAAATAATTGTGTCACTCGCTAATTTTCATGATGCTCATATGAAGTCCTTTTTTCCCGATCTGTCAAGAAATTTAGCAACGATAGTAGGAAGGAAAAAAATTCGTTCAAAAGGTCGATGACGGCAGGCGCTCTTCGAGTGTCAGCGGTTGCGATAATTAAGCAGCTGTATATTATGTAATGGTATGATTATATAACAACCTTTGTAACAACAAAGATGGCTTCCCAAATTCCCGGTATATTCCACTGCATTTTGTCGCGCATTTATAGAAATAAAACATATGCGATGTTACAAGGCTACTTCTTATTTACCAAAAAATACCGTATGCTATGTACCTGGGAACGGAGCATCAAGGTAAAGGACTGTTATCTTCTTTTGGGAGTAGATTGGAGCGCCACTGTAATAGATGTGCGAGAAGCTTATCTGAAGCTCGCCAAATTATATCACCCGGATTGTGGAAGAAACACGGCTGATGCAGCAAAATTTTCAAAAATAGAACATGCTTATAGAGTGGTCATGGATCATGTAACAAGTGCGTCCCAGAAAGGCTCAGAAGTAAGCGATCAAGAGTTCGAGAAGGAGATATTTGATATTCATCACACGGCACCACAACATAGGTACTGTCTTCCACCAACTGTTATCAAATTTACAAACAACGAGTGGGTAGATGGAGATCTTTTAGCAGCAGGAGGGGGAAGGTCGCTTATTGTCAGCTCAGCTAAGTTAATGTCTCTGAGACCTTCAAATCATTACCCAACCCTGTTTTAGACAAAATGTTTTTTTTCCACTTCTTTGTCGATATAATCAATATAATTACCACTTTTTTTGTTTAAGACTAGGAAGGGTTGTAGGTTTTGAATTCAGTAGACGTAAGTCGTCCTTTCACGAGCGTGGGTCAAAGAAAACGAATCTGAGCCTCTTTAAAGCATCGCACCTCACACCAGTGGTTCGATTCCCGATGTTGACCGTATGATTTTTGTTTTTCCCACGCTCATGAAAAGACAAGTAGCCTTTTCTTTTTTCCGTTTTGTTTTGTGTATGTTTTGAAGTAAAGCTTCATAGGGGGAAATGAACTCTTTTCAGGGCCAGGTGTCGCTAGATTTGATCTACATTGCACTTATGAATTTTTGTCTTTTATATGAAAGTTTCCGGGGGCAAAAGTCAAAATAATCTGACAAATCTTCAGTCAAGGACCGATTTAATTCAAGAAGTTCCTAACATCTTCTATCTAGCCAAATGGATTGAGAGGTCCACTATGGTTGTTAGCTGGATGTTTTTCTCATTAGTCTTCAGTTCAACTTCAGTGACCTACTTGCAATTAGATGAGTGGTTTGTTTGTAGACAGGACAGTAACATGAGAGTGTCCCCCTCACACCATAATCCTCCAGGTCTCCACTCTTTGCATTGATATTACATTCATCTTGGAGGAAGTTGATCACAATTTTTTAAAAATAAATCAAATTCCTCCACTGGAAAGTAGAACCCAATTTGCCTTGCTTCCAACCAATGGCTTTCATAGCTTAGTTATTAGTTGCACCTAACTAATATCTGGGAGGCACAGGTTAAAATCCTGTCAAAGTCTAAAATTTTTCAGGCTTCTTTCCTGCAATTGCTTAAATTGCAGCTCACCTGCAAGAATCATTTATTTGCTTGATTTTTGACTGCTGGTCAAATGAAATTTATTTCATCAAAAATTGTGATCACATTCATCGTCACCCTAAATAAGGCTTTGATGAAATTTTTCTGGTAGTCTCTCACTTGAGTTATTTCACCTTTTCAATTTGATTGTAAAATTGATTTTCAGGCAATACTTAGAATATGAGGGAGTTGGATTTGGCTCACCCTCCAAGAGACAGAAGCAGTATCAACAGCACCGTGTGCAGAGAGCATCAGACAAAGTGATTGATCATAAATATGGGCATTTGGGAGAGCAAGAAACATCCATTGCAGAACCTGAAAAGAGGGCTATAAGAAGATCAAAGCACTCCAAGGTCATTGACAGACTAGTGGAGGACCTCATTCAGGAGGCCATGTCCAAAGGAGAATTTAAAAACCTAGCAGGAAGTGGAAAACCACTTAAGCTTGAGCAGGATGTCTATATTGGTAGGTAACATACCCTTTTTAGATTGGTAACGAGTTGCTTCTATGGATGTTGTGCCAATGTAGTAGATGATTAGACAGCAAAGAAATCTTCTGGTATCAACCCTTGATGAAGGTTGTGTTTATTTGGGGTTGGAATCATGATTCATTCTCAGTCATCTCCATAGCATGGCAGCCATTGTTGCTGGTATAAGATTTGAGATATAATGGTCAGGGAGAAAGATTGAGACAGGGACTTCTCCAAACTTCCTTTCCCATCTTTCCTTTCTTTCCTTCTCATCCCTTGCCATGTGTTATCCATGTGTTATTAATACAACCTGGCTGGAGTTATTTTAGTTCTAAATAAATTATTTTGCGGGCCTCAAATATTTTATAATATGTAATTGTAATTCGTAGGAAAAGGGGTCATGTCATCGTTTTCTTAATTAATATGTCAGTCAATTATTTATTATCTTCTTGAGTGCCCTTCATTCAATTTAATTACATACACAATTTTTTTCATTTACATGATGCTTTCAGATTCAACAACTCGAAGGCTCAATAAAGTATTGATTGATTCAGGATTTGCACCCGAATGGATTGCGCTTGAGAAAGAGATCAGACTTGATATTGAGAGACACAGAGAGAACCTTTTGCAGAAACGAAAGAAACTGGGGCCTAGTCCTTTGACTTTACTTTCAACCGATAAGTGGGAGCGTCATCTTAAGGAATTTCACGACAAGTTGCGGGACACTAATAAAAAAATCGATAAATTCAACATGATTGTACCCATTCTAAATAAACAAAAAGTTCACGCAAACTTTCATAAGGAAGTCGATAGAGTCGTCAAGAATTACGGATATGGAATAATGGAATCTAACGTCGAAGAGCCTCGCAAAGACGCCGGCGACGAGAAAAGGAGCGATGAATCTGAAAGTTTTACCTGGAATTTCCTCCAGAAACTTCTGGGAAACTACAAGATCGGGTTTCTGGAAAAATTCACCGAAAGCGAAAAGACGATAAAATAGTTTTAGTCAGAAACCATTTATTTAAATACAATTTTGTGATATTCGACTGTCCGAGGTAGGATGACCCTGCGAGATAGCTGGCATAGAAAGGGAAGGAGAGATGAAAAGTATATTGAGGGCGAAGAGCGTGAGAATCATGTTCGTCGCTCTCAGACCCTATCGATTGTGAGTAGCACTTCGTGCCCCCCGCGCGCTCAATATATTTTTTACCGTCTCCTCTCCCTTTACATGCCGACCAAGCGAGCTTTCATTGGGTAGAAACTTTGTTTTATTCCTGTCATCGCTTAGCCTTGTGCGGGAGAACCACGGGCCCATTCCTCTTCAAAAGTTACAGCCACTTTCGTGCCCAGGGTGCCGATGCCCTTCCAAAATGGGAAAAGTAGCCTGGGGAAGAAGGATGCCTCTAAATCAAAGTGAGAGATAACCGAACCATTTGTCACGTTCGCTAGCTTATCTTTTCTTTGTTCTTTCTTCATACCACTATCATGCCGGTCGGTATTATTTTTTCAATTAACTACTCGATCACAAGAGCAAACTTCATAACGAAATTTGGAATTGGAATAAATATCAAACAATCGCGAATTACTTTTTTTTAACATGGTTCATTTCTAAAAACAAAAACAAAAAAAGAGAGAATATACTAAGGCTTGAAAAAGCGCGGTAAACATTTTCCGCGGATCATCTTCGATCATCTGCAGGAAACGTCGAAGACAACACCTGGATTATTTCAATGACTATTCAAAGCTTTCCCACAGTAATCTTACCTTCGGCCAACAAATGCGTTATCGTTAGAATTATCTCCATGGCCTCTAGTGCATGGATTAGCAGATATGAAACGCGGAAAAAGAATTAAAATTATAACCCAAGTAGGAGCAGTCAATGAAAGCGCCAACAGGCATTAAAATTTTTTGATATTCATAAAAAGTACTTTACACGATTTTCAAAAAAAGTTCAAATTTTCTCAGAAGGTGTTCTTTTTTCGATGATATCAACTACTGATATCGTCCTTGAAAACGCCACTTATCGCGAGTCGCATTACAAAGAACAGCTTTGAATAATTGCCTGTGTCGCCATCAAAAACCGGAATCAGGAGAAGCCAATCGAAAGCAGAATTTCTCGGGGCATGCTATAAATCAGTTATTCTTTTATATTATTGTTGACACACTTTTCTTTGTAGCGCTAAAATAAGATTACTTACGAGTTGTAGATGAGTTGTCCCATTGGTTCGTAGATAAACGAAAGCCCAGGGCTTCGAGTTATTAAATATGCCACAATTCAGTGATAGATAAGAAGCATTTCATCGTCTCCGCGGCTTTTTGATAGAAATGGCCACTGAAACGTACGCCACATTTAAGTAAATCTTGATGTATTCTTTAGATCGCTCGCATATTTCAGTAGCGATTCCATTCAGTTCTGGTGACAAAAGACTTCTGGGCAAATGTCAGGTATCTAGATCGTTTATGTTCTATAATATTGAATTTTTGAAGCTTCTAGCGTTCCTTTTAGAACAGCCTAGCTCTGATTGATAAATCGAATCATTACATAAACCGAGATGAAGTTTTCTCTAAATTAAATCTTTATCGAGGACAATATTTGTTCGCGGTTTAACAACAGAGGCATTGAAAAGCAGTAAACAAATTTCTGCTAAGAAACTCGAAGTTCAGACTTTCTCTTAAGCCTAAGAAAGTTCTTTTACTGAAATTTTGAAAGAGGTTTTCATTTCAGTCGGGTTGTTTTGCCTTTGCGCAAGAAACTAAAATTTAAGGCTGACACACATTATAGCTTCCCAGCCAACAAAGGCATGCCTTTGTTTGACAGCTGGTGCGCGCCCAAGATTCATCTGTCCATACTAAAATCAGAAAATACTCTTCGTTCACAGAAGGCGAAGATACCAAAGGCCAAGATCAGCTAATTACTGGCTCGGTAAAATGGTTTAATCTTGCCAAAGGGTTCGGTTTTATTACAAGAGACGATGCGAAAGGAGATGTCTTTGTTCACCAAGTAAGACACAAATCTATTTCAAGAAGTTTGATATGATCGCCGTGTTTTTATGCTGTTGAGAGGATTGTCTGATTTTCTATGTTGCATCAACGACGATATTGGGTATTTTTGCGGTGTACAAGTATTACTGAAAATTTTTGTTTTTGTGTTCTGAAAAGCACTTCCAGTAATCAATTATTCATTGCTTAACGATAATTATTTCTCCGGCTCAAATTTCATCTGACCTGAACAAGGAAAAAAAGTGACAGTTATCTATATTTGGTGATTAATTTTGTCGCTGGAATTTGTCACAAAATCAGAAAATATTTTATGCTTAACATATCTTTGTCCAACTCTATTTGGAAACGCGACATTAATTAAAGAACTCGTATTTTCATATTTTCATGTAAAAGCCCTCTAGTTTATTAACGGCCGTTCGTCTGAGGATTCCTGTTTGCTGTTACCAAATATTTCATCTTCACTGAAAATTTTTTGCTTGCATCGACGCTCCATAATTTTTTATATTGATTCATTTTACAAGTTTATCATCAATGATGAAATACTCGCGTTCAATTTTAATTTGGTTACACTTAGTTCTTTCTTTTGTTTTGTCTACTCTTCCCACAATGGCCCCCAGTCGCGCAGTTAATTTAATTTTCAGGTCTATTCATCTCCTGAAGCCGAAGGAACTTGATCTCCGCAAAAGGATTTTTTTTTTCTCAGAAATAGCGTATGAAATTTAAAGCCGGACATTTTCTGTACAGAATGTTTACCCCAAAAAGTATCTTGGGTTATTCTGGCGTGTATTTTTTGAAATACCTTCTAAAATCTCGTCTAATTTCTAACTCTGCAGCTGAAATTTATTAAACCTTAGACAGCTGTAAATATTTCTTACTGTTTGAATATTATTTAACTTTGCGCGTGCATACAGTATGAAGAAAAACAAACAACAGCTTTGTTCTCACTGCATAAATTGCCGATCACTAAAGCTAAGGTTGAAAGAAGCGCGGCATCGATCAAATTTCGCAGAAGAGAGATTGAACCTACTGGGGTTATGAGAACAGGTTTCCCGCAAAAAAATAAATGTTTGTTTTTTGGTCTGTTTGTATTTTTGTATTTGTGATCCGAGATGCCGCCAAGATTTCTTTTTTCAGTTATATGATGACTCATTGTTTTTGTTTTAAAAAAATATTTTTGTTTTTCTTTCTGAGGTCGCAAAACTTGAAAGGTTTTATAACTTTTGTTTTTATTTGGTTTCTTCTCAAGTTTAGCGCCATCCAGTGAAACTAGGCGAAATAAAAGAGTATGGAAGACAACAACTCTGTCGACCTTTGGTCCAGAATTGACCGCAAATACTGCTTGGTTCCTGCTAAATTTTTCATTTACTTACAATTACTTAAGCGTGACGTATAAACCGTATTTTACCGGCAATGAGGCACTTTGTGATGTCAATTTCAAAGAATTGATAATTCTTGTATATATTAACGGTTGATCTCGGACATACTGCGCTAGATGAATTTTAAGATGACGCTTTCACTCTGAAAACGACTGAAAGTTTCCTGTTCGCACTAGGAAACTGATAAATGTTTTCCGTGCTCACTAAAACGATTACCGTTTGCAAAAAAGATTGAATGCATCCTTGGGAAAACGCAAAGTAATGGTAAGCGATTTCAAAAAAGGTCAGTTTTCAAACTGTTTTTCTCACTTGAACGTAAAGCTGTTGTTTTCAAATACATCCGTAAGGAAGAGCGTTTTCGAAAAGTTTCGAATTTGTTGGACAATGATTGACCGTTATCAGCGGAGACGGTGGGCCAGACAGTGGAAAATACAATTGCGTTCGCAAAACATTTATTTATCTGGCGTGGTTTAGACTGGGCTTTAGAGTCAAAACACTCATTTCAGCCAATGAGAAACGAATTAAAATTATTTGTTCGTGGGCGGGCCTGCTTCGTGGGATTAGTTGCGTGCGCTTCTGATACATGTATCTAATGATGTAGCTTTCTATTGATGGTACTACGACTGTCTACTCTATGGCTAGGGATTTTGTTTTCAACTGTTCATTACTTAACTCTTTGATCTCAATTCATTTTTAGAGCGCCATAAAATCGAAAGGATACCGCAGCCTCGAGGAAGGAGAGAAAGTTCAATTCAAAACAGTCAGTTCAGATAAAGGAACGATTGCTGTTTTTGTGACTTCCCCGGATGGCGGAAACGTCAGAAGCTTGTCACGAAAATGCCGCGTTAAGAAAGGCGCGCGAAAGTACACGAGTCTCTGTTACAACTGCAACATGAATGGACACAGAATGAAAAACTGTCCGTATGCGAGGCGAGTCGAACGAACATGTCACAAATGTGGGTCGCAAAGTCATCTGATAAGAACGTGTCCAAAGCTGCTGGAGCAGCTAACTGAATTACGCTCTGATCAAAGAAGAGAAAGACATAGAATCTTTGATGAAAGGAACTTTTCACCTACCGACTCGGCAAAGCAGCCGCAAGACCACTCATAAGTTGCTTGCAGAATTCTCGCCCTTTTCCTCGAGGAAAACGAACCTCACAGTAAAGAAGGAGTTGATAGCAACGGGATGTGCATATTTCTTGTGAAATCCAGAGTTTCTGGACAAGACACATGACCGACGTCATAAGAGTGCAGTTGAGGGAATCTTATCAGGATCTTTAGAAGTCCTATACATGTGCAAGTCAAATCAAAGAGTAGCAATACTTCTGCATGGTCACTTCATGCAAGAGAAATCGGAATACACCCTGTTTGAGCGTCACCGGATGAGAGCCACTAGGATCCTGATCCGGTTCTACTACAAGTTGCACTACGCGCAGATAAGAGGTCAATCTCGACGACCGTGAAAAAAAATGTGGTTTTTTCAACAGAGTCGATAATATGAATTGACCACCGTAAAGAACTTCTAAGCTGATATTTCGAGCGTTAACCGTTGGTCAGGGCGAATGTAAAGAATTTTGGACATTTTGGCCGTTTCGATAAGGTATATACTGGGGTGGAACACCACAGCGTACTCTGGTGTGACACTCAAGCATTCTTAGGCCCCTAAATATCAACACTCAAATGTAACGGGCTTAAAAGGCCTTGCCGGAGGCTCCAGAAGTCCAAAATGGATTTTGTGCGGAAAATCATATGAATAGATTCTCGAGAAAAAGGGAAATTATGTCCACTTCATCCGAACAAAAATACACCAGATACTTCCATTAATTTTGCCGTTTTATTGCCTTTTCCCCGTGTATATGTAGTCTACAAAACTATTTTAATCGGCAAAAACGGGTGCTGCTAGTTGGTGACTGTTGGTATGGATAATGCACGATCCCTCTAAAAAAGTAAAGCAGAATAATTATTTTGTGAGAGAGAAAGTTTTTAGAATGTCATTTTTCTCTTTTAGTGCGTTGAAATAAGATGTCATTAAAAAAAATTGAATGACTCCTAAAAATATACTGATCCAATCATATTTCAGGAGTGGCAAAGGATAAGGAAGGATCTCGACTTTAATCTTTCAGTCTTTGAAATGATGAACAACTTTTCCTGAAAAAACCGATAAATGTCAGTATCTGAGCAACTTCCCAACTATCATTCCCTTAGTCCAACATTGATCCTAACTCTGTAACTTGTTACTAGTTGCCTGTCGTCGGGTTAGGGGAGAGGTAGGTGCGTAGTTGCTCAGCTGCTGACGTAATCATTACATTATCCCTTTGCGCTTAGCGCGAAATTGTTTTTTAGCCTTTGAAGTGTCACTTACATTTCGACTGACAGGAAGAATCGATGATATCTTGCAGTTGATAGAACAGTTTGTCAAAATCGTGAACTTTGATGACGTTCTCGTCTTTGCCCATAGCGATCGTTTTCAGCTCCTCGACCTTAATATTGTCACCAACACCGACAGCGATAATTTTGACTCCTTTTTCCTGCAAATTAAGAAGAAATCCATATGATATGGTAGGTCAGTAAATCCTCATGGCCGTGTGAGGACACTGTCGGGGTGTTACATCGGCCAGTTTTATCTTGCAACTTGTTTGCGCCGTTCTGATCAAACCGCACAGCGCACTTTCTAATGAAATCTATTTCCCGGCATCAGACACTAACCCGCATGGAAAGTGGGAAGAACACGAGAAGAGTTTGTGCATTCCTCGAGTCGAAAGAAGAGTGACTTACAACCTTGTCGAGTGTTTTCCCGCATTCAAAGGGGTTTATCAACTCGCGTGGCCAATTGCTCTTATCGTTGAATTAACAATTAGACTATGAGCCTCCTATCCCCATCGCTTTATAGCCGATGATTTGGGCGCAGCCCAAATCAACTATAGACACGCATAGAAGTTCAGAGTGAATTATCTAATTGTTTTAATATGAACCTTCAAGGCGTTCTAAACTTAGTAAAGAGACCGGCTCCTACTTATATATTATTTTGTTTACAACTGCACGCTGTTAGGCCACTCGCTTTACCTAGTGTCCACGGAGTAGATAGCGAATATTGCAGCCAATCAAATTACAGCATTTGCAATAGAACGCTCAGAGTAGATTTATACCAACAGAAAACAGATTAGATGATGACTTCTTACGCAGATTACTCAAAATGACCCAAATCAAGTGAAATTATTCCGAGCCCAACAGCCGAGGAGTTGACAACTCAAATCTTGCCTGGTCATAAATCACACATAGACCTATCAAGAAATATTTAACAAACCAACCTTGAGTGGTGCCAGTACGACATCGTATGGTACACTGTCCGTATTGGTGCGTCCATCTGTTACCAAAACAAGCACATCCGGTGCTTGAGGTCGATCTCCACCCTCACTGGTAAAGAGCTCATCGTTGGCCTTGATCAGGGCTCTATCGGTGAAGGTTCTTGCTTCGAGCTTGTTCGTTTGGTCTAAAATACTTTTAACGATCACAGGGTCCTGCTTGTCCTCCTCGTTAAACTTTATTAAGATCGTGGCGTTGATGTTGTACACCATAAGTCCAAGATGCGTTCCACCGGGAGAGATGTTCATGCAATTCACAAGTGCCAGTGCGAAATCCTTGGATTTCTCAAACTCTATCTTTCCCACGCTTTTAGTTGCGTCCAGGATCACTGCGAGATCTAGAGTGCGAGTACATGGGGTGGGACCTGGAAATAAGTCGTAGATATTGCATCAAATAACAGGTTAACCCTTTCGTTCAAGATCTATGGAAACATTTTTTTTTTAGTGAGCACCATCTGCGTTGTACCCCTATTCTAGTGAGAAGGGTTTAGAGTCGCTTCTTAGTCCAGCACAATCCTTACCAATGTTATTCAAATATTCCACTATAATCAGTATGTTATGAACAAAATATTCTGCGCTAGCTCTGTGATGAGTCATTACCCATGATTTATCAGAGTAGAGGCACGGTTGAGATGCCATAATGACTGTTTTCTCTGCTTTGCCAGACAAGGCAGTCGGTTTTGAAAATGTTTGCGAGATTATTTGGTGGGTTAGAGAATAGAGACCAATAGCATTCTTTGCTACTCGAATGATAACCTGAACAGAAATAAAGCTTCGAGGAGTCGCTTACTACAAGACAATTGTGTAATTACCTCTCTGTTCATTGTTTAAAGCAAATATATTCCATCGACACCTGCGCCAGTTCAGTTAAAAATCAGAGAAGACGCCAAAAAAGGTGACGAGAACATCTGTGACACAATTGCCTGCATCTCGTATGCCAAACTGATATTGCTATTACATTCATAAAAATTTTCACCAATAACTGAAAATGCAAGCTATGACCATTAAATACTTCCGATACAGTATCAGGGTCCTAGCCCTTATAAGATATTTTAAACTGCCCTTAAAGGGGTCAAGTCGTTTGTTACTCACATGGAAACTCGTTGCATGGCTCAATTTTTTCGTTCGGCCCGACGCAGTCTTTTCCTCCATGTTGAGGTGGAGGATTGGTACAGGTTCGCACCAGTTTCTGCGTGCCACCTCCACATGTCTTGGTGCATTCTGTGTCAGGTTCCCAAGGTGTGTAGCCTCCATCAATAGCTATGTAAGAATTGAATGGTAAGACAATTAGTTGGATACTGAGCTGAATGTCTTACCAAATTTTTTCTTATGTTGAGTTTGGGCTCTCGTGGAGAAAAAGTAAGCGAGTATCGATCCAGGTATGATTACTAAGGCATCAGGAACAAGAGAAAAGCAAAGAAAGTTAGCACGAAGCATTTTTATTATTATTATTATTATTATAATTATTATTAACAATAACAATTATTTTTTAAACGCAATACACTTTATCAACTGCTGACCCAAAAAAAGGAAACATGAAGCACGTTGAGAGCAGATAACTTTAGAGATTGCGACTTCTATAAAGGTTTCAAGAAAAAGAGAATCCCTTTCAATATATTTTAGGACTAAGGGTATTTGGTCTCCCAGAAGTGCTTCATGCTCTGCGAGTGTTGATTGGAGAGATTGACAGTGTGTGTGCTATATCTGGATCCTTTGGGGGATTTACAATAAAGTGAGGAATTGAAACAAGATAAATCTTCTTTATTTTTGTGGAGAAACAGAGATCGAACTCGAGGAGAGAAACGACAATTAATCCGAAGTTTTACGCGTCTTGTTCAGCTCAAACAGCGACGGAGAAGGTGTTTTTTAGATTCCACTTAGTAAAGATTTTTGTCAAAACTTACGACATTCAGCCAGCTTGCAATCTTGTACATCCTCCGCTGACCCTTCGCAGCCTTTGCCACCATTTTCTGGTGGCGGATTGGTGCAAGTCCGCTCCCTAACCTGTTTACCAGTTCCACAAGTCTTGTCACACTGAGTCCAGTCTCCCCAATCACTCCATTGTCCATCAGTGGGTGCGTTTGGTTCTAAAATTTCATGAAAAAAAATGAAACTAATGACATTTTAACGAAGTATAATGAAATTAAATAAGCCGAGATAGAAACGGCTCAGACCTAGAAAGAGGTCATTCATTCGGAAAAAATGTAAATTTGCTAAAAGAAAAAAATTGAAAAAATTGAAAAATGATGCGGAATGATGTGCAACATTTTAGCGTAAATCAAAAGGTTTTTACGTAAGTGTTCAGGAAGAAGAGTAAAACATGTATCAAAGGAGATACCTTCCTCCAGAACGTAGACGTAATTTGTTTTCTGTTTCCCAACACACTCTTCCTCAGAGTTGATATCGCAGGCTCCGAAATCACTCATAATGCATTTATCATCTTTGGCTGCATCAAACATCGCATAACGATCTTTGGCATTGTCTCCACTCCAACACTCGCCGTAAAATTGAAGAGCAAACGCATCGTAGCCATTTTCGCGCGCTTTTTCAGCGCACAGGCAAGCAAGACTGAAAATATAGAATGATAACTAAATATCAAGCAGGGTAGATACCATGAACCACATAGTCCATAATTACCACAGTCTGGATTTAAGCTGTTGAAAGATTTAAAGGGGTAATGATAATGATAATATCGGTATTACTTCGGGAGGATGTAATTGCTCCACTCAAGTGTTGCTTGAGGAACGCTTTCAAATCAATAAAGAATAACACCCCAGTTCAATTTCCTGTCTCCTTACAATATGTATCAGGCTAGAAGGATGCAGTGTTTTTTATTCAAGACCATGAAAAAAGGAACCTTTTTTCCGCATTTGTGATGGTATGAAGAGAAACTAGATGATTAAGCAAGACAATTGATTATCGTCCCTGCTTAAAAAATAACGAGGGCTGATAGACTATGGAGTATGCTCATCATTTTCTTTTGCTTGGCTATAACCATAAATCAGTAACACAAAAATATTACAAGACCATCTGACGCGTACTTGTGTAACGACTCCGGATACTTGTTCCAATCTAACTTGGGTGGGATAAAGACCTTGCTCTTTTTATCACGAATGTTGACCATTTGATTCGGGAGGGCCCTTTTACCATCCACCAGATCTCTATAACATCCAACCTTTTTCCAGGTCCTTTTGCAGGTTTTGTAATCTTCGTCTGCATACAAAGCTAGAGACAAGACAAAGAAGACATTCGCGAGAAAACTTCTCGGTTACATTGAGAGATAGAATGTGTCTTTTTTTTGGACGAATGAGATACACGTCAATTATGGTAAAACTACCGAGTAAACTAGTTGAATATCTTGAAGAAGTTGTGTGTTCGCTAAATAGAGTGTTAGATAGGGAGACTACACCTTTTGCTGTTCATTACGAGAAAATGCGCATTCATTTGCGTGAAAAGGCGAACAATTGCGAGTCTAACTGCAAAAGACGATTATTTGTGCGTGAATCAGATTCAATAACGATTTTTGCATTTTAATCAGCATTCAATAACAGTTTTGGGCATTCTTATGCGCCATTCGTCAAACAAAAGAGAAAAATATACTTTCGTTTGCGCTAACATTCAAGTCATCATACACCATCTTGAAACTCGATAGAGACAATACACAAACAATATAGTGCATAAACCATTCATTAACATTTTTATCACACTGTTGGCAATTCAATAGCATTCCTGGACGGCATTAGTATGAATAAGACAATCATTAATGTACTCGTACAAACAATTCAGTGTTTTTTATATTCAATATGCAAGTAGTGATTTTCAACTGAACACCGATTTTGCCAGAACTTGCATTCAGGACGGCATTCGCTTTTAAAGGTATGCAAAATCCCACGAAGAAACCGGTGAACACAAAGAGAGAATCGTGAGAGGATTTGAGGACGAGGGAAGATTATCTTGTGGTCGCGGGTGAACCGACCAACGTCAGGCATTGTGGCGCGCTACATCAGAGAGGGCAGGATCCAGGAAGACCACGAGGAGGTAGAAACAACGTGCGCGTGGACGAAGAGATGAGAAGAAATCATAAACGAAAACTGTTTACACTTGCTGGATAAACAGTGAACTTTTAAAACCTCAGATCAATGGACATTAGACGGGATGCTTTTTCCTTGCGGAGAAACAGACCTCTTGGCGAGTGGGCCAATGAACCATGCTGCGCCACGTTTTCGACGATAATCTCCGGTAGAGGCACAGGCGAGGACAAATCTAAATCTTGACTGTGACAATGGCAAGGCCAATCAATGGACTTGTGTTTTTTAGTAGCTCTTGGCGGAATGACGGATAACTTCCTGGCACAGGCGAGGACAAATCTAGATCCCGACGAGGTGATCTTTGTGTCGGAAACCCGGTTCCCGCCCCAAACACAGAGCTTAAAATACTTCCTCCCTACAGTCCTTTCCTAAACATCGTGGACCAGGCAATAAGCTGTCTGAAAGCGGCGATCAAAGGCTGACATCTCGCGTCCGGAAATTCAAAGACGCAAGGATAACAGAGATGAGGCCAGAGCCGGAGGAATCTCTCTGGGGGAGTTTCGAACACAACAACTACTTGAAGTTCTGCACAGGAACATTGACACTGTGACCGCGGCTAAAAGTGCGCAATGGTCCCGTTTTATGCAGACCTATCTGCCAAAATGTTTGAATAGACAGAGTATTGAAGGGTAAACTGAAATTCAAAACAAGATAATTTTGGAATAGGTATTTTTCAATTGGAATTCGATGTTTGAATATTGAAAATAAAAAAACTTAATTGTTTGTACACGCGCATAAATGATTGTGCTATTCATTCACCAATGCCGTCCAGAAATGCTATTGACTTGCAAACAGTGTGATAAAATGTTAATGTATGGTTTATGCACTATATTGATTATGTATTGTCTCTATTGACTTTCAAGATGGTGTAAATGACTTGAATGTTAGCGTAAATGCAAGTTTTCTCTTTTGTTTGACGAGTGACGCCTAAGAATGCCTAAAAATTGTTATTGAATGCTGATTAAAATGCAAAAATCGTTAATGTATCTGATTTAAGTGCAAATGATGGTTTTTTTTGTCTCTGATGATTGTATTTCCACGCAATTGTTCGCCCCTTAACGCAAATGAATGCGTATTTTCTCGAAATGAACAGCAAAAGGTGTAATTAAAACCGCCAGTAGGGTCTTATTTCTAAGGAAGCCCATCTCAAGGAATTATGAAAACTCTTGGTATCAGGTCTACCAAGAATAGTGTGTTTTACAGGAATTTTCAAAATCGATAGGAAATGTCTCGTGAGAACAATTTCTGGCACAATGATTTGTTATTTTTACACCCTACTGGGACCTCCCCAGACGAACGTGTCCTAAAAATAAAAAATATGTATTACTTTAGGTATAATGCCTATTAGATATTTTAAATTTATACCACTTGCTACCATTTATCACCCTGTTGCTCAGGACATTTTACGCAAATTGAACTGAGCCTTAGGAATAATAAAGACGGAGTATATGGCACTGCTGTTGGTCAATGAGTTTGTGCAAATAGTGTGCGTCTTGCTTAGCTTTGTTTGAGTGTCTCTTTTGTTTATATTCCTGCCTCATTTCGTGAACACGACTATATTCTGTGTCTGCCTTCAGTTAAATCAAAGCATTTCAGCTTGGGCAGGGCCGGGCGATGGAGACTTCATATCATCATTAACGTAATTAATTCTCTCAGATTGGTACGAAAATACAGCTGTGAATCCCAATTGGAAATACGAGAAATTCTCTATGACGTCCCCGTTTTACTAATGCGTTTATCTCACCAGGCCAAAATTGATCTGCGCTGCTCATCGAACTTTTCATTTCATGATGTTAACTTTGTCGATCTGAATTAGATTGCTATGACAGTCGAAAACACAGCTTCCTTTTTTTCTTTCCCAAAACGTAAATGACACTGCAAATATGGCACAAAATTCATGTGCTTTAAGTATTTGTTGTGGATAAACGCGGGGAGCAGATACCTCTGAGGGGCAACATGTATTTGATTAGCTTACAAAAGTCCTGGATTTGCTTACCTGATCTCGCACATGCACCCCCAATGAAGCAGAAAAGTATTACAACTTGAATCCTGACCATGATTAAGCTTTCTAGGAGAGAGAAAGTTCTTGTGAATATTTTGAACAAAAGGCTTACACGTGAGATTTTTTTTAAGCTATGCAAGTTTACTGAGCAGTGGTGAAAAATTTGAGTAACAGCAGCTTACTTCAGTTTACTTCTCTTTAACCTTGAGATCAAATGCTTTCTATCTCGTTTCCATGGGATAGATGTAGCTCCTATTACAATGCCCAACAATTAAGTGTATTTCTAGTTACCACGACAACCTATTTTCATCTTTCAATTATAATCCAAGAAATTTTAGTGGACAATTCATCGGTAAACACGAAGCACACAATAAAAAGCTTGTCCAAATTAACGTATAAATTTGCTATGGAAAGCGACTCCCTCGTCAGAACGAGACGAAAAGGTGTCTATATTTATTTAAATGATCATATCACGGACGTTTTTACAGGTGTATGATTATAAAATTGTCTGGCTCTGACCGCTGGCAGGGAGAAGACTTAGCAATATAGACCCATACATCTTTAATCAGTAAGACGAAGTTTGTAAAGCATGAATCCTTGCCAGCCGGAAGTTTCGAAAATTTTCCAAACACTCCCCCAAGGTACATATTGTTTCACAATCAGCAGGATTCCGGGTGGGGGGTAGGATCATGCCTCCTTTTTCCCATAGTTGATATGCAGTTTCTCCAGTGACGCCCAAAAATAGTTTGGCACGCTAGCCGGTAATAAAAGTTAAGGCCTTTTTTTTTAATAGATCCCTTTGTTCCCTTAAGATAAAAAGTCAAGTTCTTTTCTTTCTCAAAACCCCAGGAAGACTTTAAAACATGTTAAACAGCGGGCGGTGTTGATTCGTTTTTTCCGAAGCAATTACAGGCTTTAACAAAAGACTAACATCCGAAAAAGCCATGAGATTTCGCACCAACTTAGAGTGTGCTCGATGGAAAAGCTTTTTACTCAACACCTGTTTGTATTTCTCGAATGACGAGTGATGCGCAGTCGCGAAATTAAAATTTCTGGAATCAAACGTAATCTTTTGTTTGCAAATAAGCATTAGTAAGAGATTATAAACTTTCTACAATCTCTTAGCATGATATCTTTCTTTGGAAACAGAGGCATGTCTAAACCATGCTTTGTAGTCTCAGTTATTCGGTAAAAGATAGAACAAGATGAACCCAATTTATGACAGATTAGTGTTCATTTTCTTCAGGTAGTAATTCTAGGAGCGATTAGTTCTCTTTCAACTTTTTTCACGTAGCTGAAAGTTTTCTGGGCGCTTCATGAAAATGAAGCCGGGGGCAGAGACAGCGCTAACCTCAACGATCAGCGCTTTAATTTGTGGGCGTGCAGCACTGGCTGTGTAAAATATAATCGAATTCTGCTAATCTCCATCTTTTAAAAACAAGTTGATAAGTCAGGCTGAGAATATCAAGGTTTACGTTTCCTAGCGAACACTAAGTATGTGTTTATTTTTAAAACTTTTTATACGGCACGAAAAGGTGAAGAAGTCCGACCATCCATAAAAGAAAAGTGTGGAGACAAAATAGGTTCTTTTCAACAGAGGTATGCCGAAACCGTGAGATTTATTTCTCGGATCGTCGGCGATAGGGTTAAGCCCAACTCATCAGGTCCTGGTAACCTACATTCAATTCTGACTATACAGCAGATTAGCACAGAGAATTAGCCTTTATAGAGTAAATCTGTTAAAACTATTTTCCTTTTTTTCTTCATATAGTTGTCGGAAACTTCTACAGACAGTTCAGTTACCTTCGCTTTGGCTGCACGGCTGGATTTCTTCTATGTCTTTTGAAAAGGATTTTCCCTGTTCTCAGGTTTTCGATTCCTAGGTTTCGAGGCTTAACATCATTTCGTTTGCAAATATTCGCCCACCCCTACATACACTCCTCAGACAGTTTAAAAGTTTAAAATTGCAGTTTTAAAGTTTCTCCCAAGGATACAGCATATGAATTCGCAGAACAGTTTGAGCCACTACCCTAAAACTTTTGAAACTATTAAAAATGATGGAGAAGAGGGGATAATTTCCTATAGATGCTAAGAATCGCACCATACTATCAATCTAGCCTGAAGACAGCTTTTTTATGCGAGCTATAGAGACAA